TCCGGCTCCGACTCAGTAGTAGTACATCCCCTACGCAATCAATTAAATACGGGTGGAAGAAAAATTGGATTGGTTATACGCGTTACTCTTTGCCATGACCGGCTCACCGCGTCCCCGCGCAAACGCACCTCGGAGAGAACTGGCAGAACAAAGGGCTAGGAAGCGATGGCATTGGAAACGCAGTCGCCGCGAATCGGAGTTCAGTGAACCATCGTAAGCGTCCTCATGTTCTGGGGATGCAGTAGACGTGGGGGGGGGGGGAAGAGCAAACAGGAAGTTGTTTGCGTACTGTGGGATACTGGGGATATTCGGATTTTTTCATTCACTTGATGGCCCATGACGTAAGTACCATATGTTTTACTGCCTTGTACTGTCAAACCGAACTAGGTCAATTATTTTTTTTCCTCTTCAAAAAATAAAAAGGAGCCGGAGTCGCCCCCTTTTTTGGCGGCTCCGGCTCCGGCTCCGGCTCCGGGCTATATTGTTTCACGGCTCCGGCTCCGGCTCCGGCTCCGGGCAAAATATGCCGGCTCCGGCGGCTCCGGCTCCGACTCCGGCTCCGGCTCCGCATCCCTGTGTGAAACATTCAGCATCAACAGGGACTCCATGGGCCGCGAGGAGGCCATGACCTTGCATGAGTGGCTCAGGCCATAGAATCAGATATGATCTTGAGCAATTTTAGATTAAAAATGACGTCATTGAATATTAATCGATATCAGGAGCACCGGAGCACTGACCAAGTGGCTCTTTTGGTAAAAATAAATTGTCATTGGTGCAATTCGGGCAACGTCATCCGGCCAATTTGTCACGAGATTCAGACGTGAAAGTTATCAACTGCGCAATTAATGTAGTTTTCTTAAAACATTCTATGACTTTCACATTCTATTCTCGAATTCATGACGTCACTCATAGTACATATTTTAGGCCAATGGAGATCGCTGATAAAATATTTCAAAGCCGCTCCTTTACATTATTCTGAAGATTCTATGATGTCATAAAACAAGTTTCTTTTTATACTTCTATTTCATGGAAAAATGTGCATTTTGTGGTTTATTGGCAGTTGAGCATCGCAATTTTGTGGTTTATAGGTGAGTTTATTTATATTATAGCATAGCCTATAGGTAGTTTATAGGCTATAGGTAGTTTGGGCGTATTTGACTCAATAGACGCCCGAACTCTTATGCTGTTGATTGATTATTGGGACCAAATTGGGACTGGGAGAAGGGGAGGCAGCCGCAGGTGTCAATTCTGACTTCTGACATGTAAAATGTAGGTACCTAGGTAGTGTAGCAGGCACTTGGTTTGGTAAGACTAAGTACCTACCAACTGCCAAATGCTTTTGGCTCATTAGGCGCCTGTGCCTGAGCCTCTGGGGCTCTTGTAAGTCTGAAATATGGAGTTAAGTGATGGCTAAAGCTGAGGGGGTGATCTAGCGTTGATTATTAGTGTGTTGATGGTGACTTGTAAACGACTCAAATTTTTTTTTGAGTCGATTCTTTGTTTGAGTCTGAAAATTTGAATCGATTCATCAAATGACTCATGATGTTAAATTTAATTGATTCGAATCAACTCATGACTCATCAAGTTCCTCGATGAAGTGATTCGAATCAACTCATGACTCATCGAAAAACGGTTTGATTCTGAGTCGATTCATGAATCAACTCAGAGTCGTTTACAAGTCTGCTGGCATGAGCTAACCTCTAGATGTGAATCTGAAAATCAATTCAATTAACTAAGTAGAATGACTCGATGTGTAAGAATCGCCGGTTGTTAATTGGTTTTCAAATATGAGTTTAGGTTTGTTATGCTTTGAATGAAATCCTGTTGTATCAGCCACACGTTACAACAAACCAAGGTACCTTACCAAAGCAACAGCCTGCTTACATTCAATTTCAACAGCTTGCTTCGCGCTCCGTTATGGTATTCGTCACCTGAGCTGTAAATTCGTTTTATTGCATTGCTTCTAAACTTTTGTGGCGGGTCATATTCATTGTCCCGTTTGTCTGGCGATTCGGCCCACTAGAGGTCTCTGCCGAGCCGCTCGATCTCGTCCAGCATATAGTCCACCTCTGCACGGCCGAGCGGCGGCACGGCCGTGAACACCAGCCGGAAAAAGTTGACGGCCTGCTTGTGCGGCAGCGGCTGGTAGCCGACCATCAGTGTGCCGGAGCGCACCATGGCCTCCTTGACGCGCGGCGCCACCCGCCCGCTCATTTTACCCATCAAATGGAATATCCACCGTAAACCCGAGATGTGCGTTCGGCTTTCTACCCTTTCCCTTTTGGTTGTTGAACAGAGAGGTTTGGTGCCTGAGCTGGTGGACTGTCGACGGCTTCAGGCGGTCCCCAACAATGCTTAGCCAAACAGAGCGTCATAAGTCTTATTGATCTGTGGGGTGTGTGGCCCCGGATCTCCAATCCTAGGTTGAACGACTGGGGAACGGCTTTGCTATTGAAACAGCGCCGGTCCCATAGCATAGCTCAGTCGGTAGTGCGTTGGACTCTGCCTGGTGAGAGCACTTGATCTGCTTACAATGCTCTGCTCAAGCTCTGCAGTCTGCTTAGCGGGGGCTTTGCCCTTGCGAATCTCTTCATTCAAAGGTTAGGACTAAATTTATTAAAATAGATAATTTCTCATACCATATTTCTTTTTAATGAAAATCTTTCCCTTATCACGTATTGCTATTTAGAAATCCAATAAAACTTTCAGGCGCAGCACCATGACGATTGGACCGCAGTGACCAACCCCGACTGGGCGACTAAGCCGTTGTTTTACATAGATATCTCATTAGCGCTGGAGTCGTCCGTATCCCAGATACAGCATCCGATAAGCCGAGTCCCAACGGACCGTCCAGGCGAAGCACTATCCTCCGTGCCGTATAGTGCTATCTGGTGTTGTGTGCCGGTCACGTACCATCCAAGGATGCAAAGACGAAAACAACATACTATCAGCAAAAATTGCAAATCATAGTTACTGACACTTGACAGCATTTATCCAAAATTATAAGGACTTGTCGTCGTCCTGATTCTCATTCCACCTCTGACTGGTGCGCTGCAGTAGTCTGTAGTAGTCTGACCGCCTGTCTGTAGTCTGTAGTACTCTGTCTATAATCTGTAGTAGGGGAGAGTGGGGTAATTTGGCCGGTGGTGTAAATTGGCCGCCCCCACCTGTACGATGTCTAATAAAAGTGAGTGAAATAACTCTAGTCTCTATTCATTTGTCATGGGTAGAAATAACTGGAGGACAAATGTCAAAACTTTGCCCCTCGTAGTTTTATGCAAAATTAATAAAACGTTAATTTCATTAGAAAATGGTAACTTCTACTTCTGTTTATGAAGTTGTATAACATGTAGTATTTGGGCTAAAAACGAATTCAGACATTATAGCGCCGTTCTTGGGGGTGTTCAGTGGTTCCAAGAGCAATTTTATCTAATTCCGTAAAGCCGCGATGACTTTATAGACAAAAAATTTCAGAATGGCAATATGGGGTAATTTGGCCGGGACTAGCGGGGCAACTTGGCCGGTGCGCTCATGGTCACTATGCTGGGACGGCCGAGTTTTCATGGACAATTGTACCATAAATGACATGATTATGACCAACTTTGACTACTTTGATGCCTTACTTCCGATTGGTCAACTGTAAGAGCATGTGACGTCATCAAAGGTTACCAAACGTTTTTTGCTAATAAATCCTTACATAAAAATGGTACAGCCGCACAAATGGTCTCATTCTGTTCAGCTCGCCAAGGCGCATCGAATGATATGCATGATGATCTTGAAATCACGTGACCTTGAGGTCAAGCGCCCTGATGCAGCGTGACCTGAGGTCAACCTTTGACCTTGACTTCTCAAGGTCAACACATATATCTTTCGATGCGGACTGACGAGAGAATTACGATGGTACTCGAAGTTTTGGCCTAGCTTGATTACTTCAAAAGTTATTCGTAAAAAACTGTGATCGCATCTAGAGCCGCTAATTTGGCTATTTTGACCCCTGTGACCCCTGAGCCAACCTCCAAAATGCGGCAAATGCGTCATAGGACACACGTCATTGCTGAATCTGAAGCTGACTAGCAATATAACAGAAAATCCCGACCGAAAACTAACACCGGCCAAATTGCCCCACACCCCCGGCCAAATAACCCTGCTAGTGGGGCAATTTGGCCGCCTTGCAGACCTTTGTAATACGTCACAATTTCAATATAAGTAATTACTCTATCATTTCAAGTTCACTGTCAAGTAAAGTAAAATGAATGCGACACCTGCCAGCGTTGAGAAAATGCAGAAATGTGTTGTCAATTTTAAGTTATATCGTTTTCTAAAAAAAGCGGCCAAATTACCCCACTCTCCCCTAGTCTGATCGCCTCGTCTGCACTGCGCTGCGCTGCAGAAACAGACTTGAGGTAGGGAGTGTCCCTGAGGGACAGATCACCGAGCCGCTCGAACGGTCACCCCAGTCGGGGTGAGGCAATTCCTTTGGAACTGCCCTCACGGCTGTCTTGTTCGGATGGTCGTCAGCCCCGAGCATGGATTTGATTTGATTGGATTTGATTGAGGATGAAGATAGCTGGGTCCTCAGGAAAGCAATGACGGAAAATGGTAACTGTAGTCGTTTCAAAGCATTGATGTAATGCGAATCGGGCCAGCAGTGCGTTGTATCTGGAGACGGTGGTTGTATAATCTCGCAGACCCACGTGCGGTCATAATGATTTACGCCTGACCAGCAAAATTTTCCATTGGTGAGGGAGGGCGTGGTCCGATTATATCCAAGCAGGAGCTGCTGTGTAAATAATCGGCTCCTCCCATGGTCGATGGCATCAGCCGCTGCTACAATCACAGTGAAACGCTAACAGCTCACCAAGGCCACCACCTACAATCAGGGGCGCACCCAGGCTCAGCACCTACGGCGGACAGATAAATTGGTGACATCTGTGGAGAGACTGAACTCAGTGCTACATAGGAGATCTTCATTATTCACAATCCGTGTTCAAATGTGCGAGGTCGGTGAGTAACATAACTCGCCGGGGTAAGCGGAAGAGTGACGGTGCGCCTGGGCTCGTCTCTGCCGGGGCTGTGAGCGCACGGCTTACCATGACTGGGCGGCACGGCCAGTCATGATCGCGGCTAGTGAGACGCCGAGCCGAGTGGAATCTTTGCGTTAGTGTGTGGTCCTGTGGTGTTTACTCGTGACACCACATCTGGATATCTGGCTATTTGTGTCCATCCTGCCTGGTGCCGAGTTGCCACCTGCACAGTGTTTGGACAGCGGCCGCGACCCTCACTATCGGGCCGGCTGTCACCAATTCTCGCCCCCTATCGGCGCGCCACGAGGCGGAGCCATGCTCCCGAGATGCGCGCGCCTGGCGAGGGGTGGTTCCTGTCGCCTGCCAGGCAGCACGGGTGTCGTCGGTCGACCCCGCTCCGACGGCGGTCAGTCGATTCATGGAGCCGCGCGCGAGAGGCCACTCATCACGCGACGTGCGACCAGTATCGATCGACACTCGCTCGGAGTTCGACTCAGCTCGACCATGGCTGACGGCTCGTCTGGCGCCCCGGCCGGCCCGACTCCGTTCTTCCAGCGAGTGATGGCGCTGGTTGACGAGCTCCGTCTGACGGAGAGCGCGCCGCCCGACCGGCGCGATCGGCCCGTGATCGAGTTCCGCTCGCCCGAGGAGCTGTCGCAGCTGCTGCCGCTGGCGCTGGGCGAGCCGGCGCCGGACGAGGCCGAACTGCTGCAGCTCTGCCGCCAGGTGGCGCGCTACTCGGTGCGCACCAGTGACTTTCGGTTCCGTAACCAGCTGTACGGCGGCGTGGACGGCTACGGCCTGGCCGGCGCGCTGCTCACCGAGTGCCTCAACACCAACCAGCACACGTTCGAGGTGGCGCCGGCGTTCATCCTGTGCGAAGCGGCCGTGCTGGCTCACGTGCGCCGCCTGATCGGCTGGAGCACCGGCGACGGCATCTTCGCCGCCGGCGGCTCCATGTCCAACCAGTACGGGCTGGCGCTGGCGCGCTACCGCCGCCACCCGCAGGTCAAGACCAGCGGCCTGTTCGGCCTCCGTCCGATGGTGCTGTTCACCTCTGAGGACGCGCACTACTCTGTGCTGAAGGCAGCCCACTGGCACGGGTACGGCCAGGAGAATGTGGTGAGCGTTCCGACGGACGAGTGCGGTCGGATGCGGCCCGAGGCCCTGTCCGCCGCTGTGGAGCGCGTGCTGTCCGAGGGCCGCGAGCCGCTGGCCGTCAACGCCACCTGCGGCACCACCGTGCTGGGCGCCTACGACCCGCTGCCGGCCATCGCCGACATCTGCCAGCAGCACGGCCTGTGGCTGCACGTGGACGCGTGCTGGGGCGGCGCGGCGCTGCTCTCGCGCCAGTGGCGCCACCTGATGGCCGGAGTCGAGCGCGCTGACTCGGTGGCCTGGAACCCGCACAAGATGCTCGGCGCGCCGCTGCAGTGTTCCCTGTTCGTGACGCGTCACGATGAACTGTTACATCAATGTAACTCGGCCCAGGCTACTTATCTGTTCCAGCAGGACAAGTTCTATGATGTCAGTCACGACACAGGCGACAAGTCAATCCAGTGCGGTCGCAAAGTGGACGGCTTCAAGCTGTGGCTCATGTGGAAGGCGCACGGCGACTCGGGTCTGGAGTCGATGGTGGACACGACGTTTGCGGCGGCGCGCTACTGCGCCGACCAGGTGGCGCGCCGGGACGGCTTTCGGCCGGTGCTGCCGCCTGGCTCGGACGCCGGCCAGTGTGCGAACGTCAGCTTCTGGTACGTGCCGGCGGCGCAGCGCGGCCAGGAGGAGACGCCCGAGTGGTGGCACCGGCTGTCGCTGGTGGCGCCCCGCGTCAAGGAGGCCATGGTGCGCTCCGGCACACTGATGGTCGGCTACCAGCCGCTGCCGCACAAGCAGGCCGTCAACTTTTTCCGGCTGGTGTTCACAGCCGTGCCGCCGCTCGGCCGCGCAGAGGTGGACTACATGCTGGACGAGATCGAGCGGCTCGGCAGAGACCTCTAGTGGACGGAATGGCGAGACGGACAGGACGAAAACGACCGAATGCGAAATATGAAATATGCATAAACTGTGTAAACGAATACGGATTATGGTTATGTGTAAACGAAATATGAAACACATGTAAAAATCCTTTTGTTAGGTATTTTGTTGGAACACGGGTCACGGCTCATATTGCAGTAGTTCATTCATAATTCCTTACCCTGATGCCAGCATTAGGTACCTTTTTGGGAATCAAGTGAATAAAGAAGTATAAATCTACATCAAATGTCTTGTAAATGGAAGAAATAATAGTCAAATTGTCGTGCTGCTACTTCTGTTAATGATTTGAGAGCTCTTATGCATAGATGTGTGGTTAGAAAAGCGTGGTATTGAGTTTAAGTGCAGCACTATATTAGTTTAAAAGTAAGCATCTGTGTGAATTATCAGACATGAATATGATTGTATATATTCGAGCGAATGACAACAATTTTATGATTTTGGGATTGTATAATTGTTTAATCGTTGTCATTCGCTCGAATATATACAAAGTATGAATCCTTTTTCTCTTTTAGATATGGAACGCATTTACTCAGCACCATTAGCTTCGAGTTTCAATTGTTAGCCTCTAAATATTTTTTATCGCTTTTAAAGAACAGCAAAACAAAATAACTTCATGAAGTAACCTACCTCATCGTCACATAGTTTAGGGCTAAGCATCCCAACCAGTCTGATGCTGTCTGACTCTGGGCTCTGTGAATACTGAATAGAGCAAACAACTTATGAAATAACTATGGTGAAGTGGTTCCGTTTGGCGCCCACTGATAGGCTGTTGTGGCCCTAGCTTCTTTGTTCGTTTGGTGAGGCCTTTGTGGAATTATTGGGACAATTTCAGGCAGAGCAGAGCGTTTAGTGAGCTCACTTTCGATGCCTAACCAATCATGCCTGATGCCGCCGTAAGTTTCATCGATCTCTCTGTTATCTGACTCCGTCACTCCGGAGGTCAATTCCAGGGTCGATTGACAGGGCTGTACTTCTGAAGTCATGTTATATGAATCCGCTGTTATAGGCCGCTTTGATTGAATTGAATTTTGTTCTTCCTAACACATCTGCTATAGAGGCAAGGTCAGGTGATGGAAATATCGGAGCTTCTTTGGCTTTGGCGAGTTTGGCAGCGACGTCTGGTGGACAAAGTCGGAACCTACAGCATACGTGAGGGGGCGCTTCAGGTGCAGTGTCGTCTCAATGGGCCTTCCACTGGGAAAGCGATTCTCAGGCGGACAGCCCAGCCAGCAATTTGATTTGGCTCAAGTCGGTTTTGCCCCGGCAACTCCGACATGCCAAAGTTGGGCCGGTGTAAACGGAACGCCGTCAGAGCCGGGGTTTGGATCGATATGGCTCTATTCCGGTTAGCCAGTCTTTGTTGTAGCTCTTCGGAGTTGGTATGGTTTCGGCCCGCCAAGTCCGGCTCAAGTCCGGCTCCCCGCCACGACGTGCTACGGCCAGGTCAGGCTCCCTCTTAGCCGCTCTGGCTTACTGTGACTGAAGTACGGTTGTGGTACGGCAGTGGCACGGCTGATACGGCTTAAGTCCGGCTGTGGTGCAGGCGAGCTCTGGGATCGTGTCAGCTCCCGTACCTAGAGCCCCAGACCTTGCCCGTACTTTGGCCGGAACAAACGCTAGCCAGAGCTAGCCAGGAGCCAGGAGTCAGGAGCTAGCGGGAGGAAAACTAGCTACGGCCCAGATCAAATATGCTGAGATAGCTTGTTCAATAAGTTTCAGCGTCTGAATTGAAGAAGGTGGTAGTTTGTGATAAGCTTAGTAAGTGATTGACGACGATAAGATATTTTGCAATGCATACCTAACACTTAGTTGTGGGTCGCATTTTATGACCGATCCCTAGCTATCTATGAAACTTGACCTTAGAATTGCTTCCGGGGTAATGGCCAATGTTAAGAAAAATCTTCTTGAGGATGAGCATAACTATAATAATGGCTTGCATATAAAATATAAAAATTAGAAAATGTTTACGGTACTGAGTGCTTCACAAAGCCGATCAGAATGCAAGAATAGATTCTAACCCCTACCGTTTCCGTGGCGGTGCACCAGGACCATGACGTATATTTGAGATATTTGAGCGGCTGAATGCAGTTTTGGCTCGGAATAGCATATTCGTTCGAGCTGCAGTTACCTCGACGCGGTGCTGTAAATAATTATGAACTCACAAATGATCAGCTCATCTCATCTGGAACATATGTTTCCTTCGTGATCGGGTTAGGGCGTCCATAAAAGGTCAGAAACATCACAAGGCTGTCTTTCTGAAGGCAGGCTGCCGAGGCTGCCGACTATCCTTGCTAATTTTAGATGTACAGATGTCCTGATATGTGCACTCCATCTGGAACTTGTCTAACTTGAACTGGTTTCTTTTACCTTTGGTTCTGTCGTTGCATTGTGCTACTGAATCTTCCGGCTTTCTTTCGTTACAATAGGCAAACTTATCACTTCTCTCGGCGTAAATGTTGCCTAATCGCTATCGCCTGAGACTAACTACGAGCTCGTCGTGCCAACCATTCTGGGCTGTGGAGTGAAACAACCTCCACCTCTTGGGGCCCCACAAGGCCGGGCATTCGCCCCGCTCTAACCACCCGTCCCAGCCGCCGCACCCGCCCGTCCGTCCGTCTGTCTGTCCGTCTGTCTGTGTGTCTGTGTGCCTCGAGAGACGGCCGGCGGACGAACACTCTCTCTGCGTCGTGTCAGTGACCCCAGCCGAGTGTTCGGAGCCACACTAACCCAGTGAGGGGAGGCCCGCCCGCTGCTAGAGGAGTGTGAACCTCCGTCTTGACTCGAGACGGGAATTTCAAAGATCGTCACATTGGACAGTTGTCGCAGATACATAGATCAGTAGTGGTCGTCATTTAATGTTCGATGATAATTTGTTGTGTACAGAACTAAGGAGAGCGATACGATCGAGTATCGATAATCTCCTTGGTAACAATTTACGCAGCGACCGCGTGTATTAGCCACAGCTGAGACGGTCGCGCCTCTGACCTTTGGTGACCCCTGGCACATCAGGACCGCCGTATCTCTGGGTAAAAAGGTCGCATCCGGACGCCAAGATAAACATCAAGCCACTTGGATACTGACAGCCCAATGCAGGGATAAGTGCAGGGATATGCACTGTGCAATGGGACATCACAAGTGTCGGATATGACGAAGTTTATAGCAAGGCCCTATATACCGTTTATAGTAGCATAGTATCTGTTATGAGAAGGTTAGACTGGATCGGTTTTTCACAGGGAATGGAAATTATGTAAAGACTTTACCCTAAAATTAAACCACCTAAAATTAAACCTGCTTTGCTCGGAAAGGACCAGTGGGGCCTAGACCCACTAATAAACCTGATGACGGGGCTCAGAATTAAATACGTGCCGCCCTCAAAGAAAAGAACACACACGTATATTTTAGAAGGTCCGAGGCCAGCAGAAATGACCAAACGGCCGGCTGTTTTTGGTTTCTCTCCACCGCACACCCTCTGGCCCCAGCACCCCTCACGCCCCCCCCCCCCACCGTGATCGACCAGCTCGGGGCGGGGACTGTGGGGGGGGGGGGGACCAACCGACGGGCCAGATGCGGGCCCGACTGGCGCGGCGGCGGCGGACGACGGAGGGCGACACTGGCCGCCGATAGCCGCTCATCGGCGGCTGGCAGTTGCTGATACGGCGCAGAGCACGGCCGGCACGGCCTGAGCACGGCGGGGCACAGCGCGGAGCACGACCGAGCACAGCACCGTCGGCCGCAGTCGCCCGACCAGTCTGCCGCTGGCCACTCCGTCAGTCACAGTCTGTCAGTCGCAGAGCGGCAGTCAGTGCAGTGTTGGTGGCACGCGAGGACTGCGAAATCTGCACACATTGGAGGTGAGTGGTCGCTGGGCTGCGAGTTTGTGTGCTCAGTGTAGATATGCTGGGTTAGATGATATAGCTGATGCAATGCAGATTGCAGGGATATTGTTTGTGTTGGTAATCGGCCTGGTATGTCTCAGGAATGTACGTTGCAGATCTCAGCTCTCATATAAACATCATGAGTTTTTTTTTTAAGTGCTGGGCCAATGTCAAAATCAGTTGGTGGATGTAGGAAAGGTTACAGGCGTGCGTTTTCTGAGGGGAATGGTGATCAACTTATGATGGATTATTTTCATTGAAAAGTCTATGCGAGGAGGTGGCTTATAATTGATGCGCAGTAAGCAGTGATCGAAACAGCGTAAACTAAACAATGATAGTAGAGTTATATAAGTTGACGGGGGTTATGAAGAAATATAACTTGCCGGGGGTTATGAAGAAAATGCATGGAATCTATCATATTATTTATTAATAATTGCTCTCCTTTATGTTAGGGTAGTCGTTCTTTCTCAGGGTTAGGTATTTTAAACCCTCGCCGGCACAAGGGGGGGGGGGCAACCCCCTAAGAGTTTTCGCAAATAACTCGCGTAAAAAGCGGCCGATCGCGACGAAACTTTCAGCACCCTCGCGTTGATTAATTTTACGCCTACCCTGAGAATTTCATTACCCTAACCCAAATGACCTTTGACCTGTGACCTACTTTTCGAGACAATGTTTAGCCGGAATCGCGATTCGGTGTATGTCAATGTCGGCTCGTATTAGCCGCGCGTTTGCAGTCTTTTCGTGGTTTCAAGCGTTCAAACATGGCATATGATGTTGCTCCCATGCATTAGAGTGGGTTTCAAGGTCACCTTAAGTTCAGGTCAGGTCACTGACCTTTGATGACCTCGGTTCACTTTTCGAGTCCTACATGTTCCTACGCTAAATTTTCGAGCTGAATTCGAATGTAGCAACCATTTGAACGTTTACAATGTTGTTTCGGTGGCTTATGGCCGCCACACACCGGACCTCGCATGCGGGTTGCGAGTTTGCGGGTTTTGAGTTTGCAGGCATAATACTAATTCATAGATTGATTAGACCGTTCCCTTATGGTAACTTTATGAATGCAATGAAGCCGGTACACCTTCTGAAAATTACATATAGTCGCGATACCAGCGCAACGAACCAAGATTTGACTCCAACGAAAAACCCGCAAGCCTCGCAGAACTCGCAGACCGCGCAGCGAGGAAAATCGAAAGTTGACTCAAAACCAACTTTTGGAATGCGATGCAAGGTCGCTCGCAAGCTAAAAACATGCAGACTTGCTTGTTAGATGGTAATGTGGGTCACTCAGCTTATATTGTATCATTTGATTTTGAAGAAACCCGAAAACCCAAAAAACTCGCAACCCGCATGCGAGTTCCAGTGTGGGGCGACCTTTAGTAACATGTTGCGAAGCTGTCAGAGGCGGTTGACACGTACTAAGAATACCCGGCAGAACCCCTACTGGTTGACCTGACCTGACCTGACCCGACCTGGCCTAAATACATAAAGACATCATCTGTGAGCAAAAATATAAACATGATATTCGTGATCAGCACCCCGAAAAAACCATAGCAGCCACTCTCAACGACGTTCTAACAGGTCCCGATTTTCCCGACTTTTGGGTCATTGACCTGACCTGGAAGGTCAACCGATGACCTAGAACCTTAAAATTGGATATCATCGGCTTCCTCTCGTCACGAGCAACACGCTCGTTTTTTTTTTCCGCGAAGCTCTAGCTCGATCAGGGGCCAAACGCTAGGGGGGTCGTACCCCCCCCCCCCGTGCCGTCGAAGAACGCAAAATGGCCTGTGCCGGCGAGGGTTAGACCCTCGCCGGACCTATTCGTTTTCTACATACGCGCCGGCCAAGTGGGGGAGGAGAGGTTGGTTCGGCCACCCCCCGCCGTTTTGCCACTAGTGGACTTTGAGCGTCGCGAAAAAAAAAACGAACGTCTGCGCCGTTACGAGACGCAGCGACTGGTACCCGATTTTAAGGTATCAGGTCAACCGGTGACCTCTGAGGTCAGGTCAAGTGACCCAAGGCACGAGTTTGGTTTTTGATAACTTCGCAAAAAAGCGCAACGCTGCGATTTTGCACCATCGCGTTCGCCTCGCTCAGGCGCGTCCAATGATATACTTTTTATTCGGGTGAGGTCAACTTGAGGTGATGACTTTGGGTCAAGGTCAGGTCAGAGCCCCGGCGAAGCTGGTCGAATGAGATCATATCGCATATCCTTCGATTCAGCAGGTCTTCCCAAGTCCATTGGTGACCTCTCCGACTCGCCAGCTCAATTTGATCGGGAGTTATTGACGAAAAACGATTATGACCCGAGTGATTATTGACGTCACGCAAGGTCAATAATGCAAAAATGAAGCATTGGATCTTGCAAGGAGTGCATAGAATCATTATTCTGTGTGCTTGAGCTAGTCTGAGATATTCCCTGGCGGCAAAATATAGCAGTCTTCATTTTTCTCCATTGACTTATAATGGCGAGGTCACGTTACCGACCTGACCTCATGTGATGTCTAGGGAAAATCCGAGATATACAAGCTGTGAGACCTGTGGAGTTACAACTTCCTGTAAGTTTCATTTCCCTGTGAAAGTTCCGGTGGCACTGAGGATGTTGTGAAGTTGCGTTAGGGCCGTGCAGAGGCTCACTTATGACGTCATAGGTCAGTGACCTGACCTGACCTGAAAATGCAGTTGGTATTACAAGATCCGGCTTGATTTATAGGTCAGGTATACAAAATTTGAGCTTTCTATCGCTAACGTGGTTGGAGCTATCGCGAAAAAAACCTGTAGGGGCACCCGCCCCCCTTCCCATCCGGCGAGGGTTAAGGTCAACCCAAAGGTTGATCAACCGAAGTCGCCAAATTATTTTTTTTAGACATTGAATAAATTGCCTCAGCGCCATGAATTAATGAAGATGAAATACCACGTAAAACAGTTGATGACCTCTTTCAAGTTTCAACCTATGTCAGACCTGGGTGTTCTACATTCGCCGTAGGCGATGGTTGAAGCTTTCAGGTAGGGAGAGATGTTGGTGGAACCCTTCCCACCGTTTCGTCCCTAATTGGGCCAAAGCTTTGCAAAAAGCGAGCGTGTGCGCCGTTTCAAGACGCAACGATTGTACCCAGTTTTAATGTGTTAGGTCAACCGGTGACCTCTGATGTCAGGTCAAATGTGCCAAGGTGGGGATCCGTTTTTTTTTTGGGGGGGGGGTGAATATCTTTGCCAAGTATGATCGCAAAGTCCCGATTTTAGCATCTTCGTGTTCTCCATGCTTGAAGATGGTTTCGAATGATATATGATTTTTGTCGAATGATTAAGCATTCCAGGGTTCGCTGCTTGCTTAATTTTTCAAGTAAACATTAACATCTGACGGACAGACGTGTTCACCAACAAGCGATGTCATCGGCCGAGTTTTCATGAAAAAAGTTTCTAGAGCTGTTCGGGCCACAGTCTACACCGACGCATGTCGGCATGCCTCCCCCCTCCCCGGACAACGAATTATGCGTCAATCGGTACCGATTACCTACGCCACGGTTCGCTATGAGGCTCGCAAAACCCGCCGACTCCTTAGCAGTCCATATCTTGAAGGTCTTCGGGGAGAGAATCTGCCATGCTGATCAATTATTTTAAGATCTCAGGCAAATGGTGACCTCTGAGGCCAGCTCAAGTGCCCTAAGGTAGGGATTCGGTTTTTAGTAAATAATTTCGCCAATGCTCGCAGTTACACGATTTTGGCACGATCGTGTTCGAGTTCGACATGGTCAGGCGCGTCGAATGATATAACTAGGTACTTTTTTGTTTAGGCGAGCTCAGCTAAAGGTGTTGAGTTGATCTAAGGTCAATATTACGTCAAAGCCTGCACTTTGGTGGCGCAGTTGATCGGAGGATGTCATGTTGCATGCCATGCGATTGGGCAGGTCTTTATAAGTTCATTGGTAGCTTTTCCTGGCTCGCTCGCTTTTCCTGATCAGACACAGTCATGGTCAAGGACACTCAGAAGCGTTCAGCCGCCGATCACCCCAGCGGTGACGCAGCGCTCCCTTGGCGGCTACAGAGATCCGCCAGAACGCTCTACTCGGATAACCTTTCTGCATAGGTATGTATGTCCTCGTGAAGATAAAAGTTAACTAACTTAATCAGGAGTTATAATTTGATCAGGAGTTATTGACGAAAAATTCCGATGACCTAAAATATCGCAACTTTGCAATGTCCTCAGTGCCATATTTTCTTTCACAGGGAGATGAAACTTACAGAGCCCAGTACCCTCCAGACGTCTCATAGGGTGAAGTCGTATAAGAGTACGCACTTAGTGGATTTCTTGCTCTCATTTGTTTAATATTTGAAAGAAAGAAATCGCAAATAGGGAATATTAAAGTTCATTGAATTAGCCATCAACCCATGGGGCAACGATCCTTCAGCGTAAATGGAAGTGGTCTAAAACTGACATTTTCTGAACCGCTGCAGTTGCGTACTCTTACCGCCTGGGGTGTGTAAGAGTACGCACGCCAGGCGGGTGGAGTACGCAAGCATATGAACACACACCTATGCAGCTTGTACTGTCCAAATGCTGAACTTCAAACTCAGAAGGCATTTAAGTTAATTCTAGTATCCAAAAAGAAAAACATAAAATAAATCTTTGAAGTCTATAAATCAGGAAATAATCATGTCGTGTGTTTCTTAAAAAAATGTACAATCAAAAGGGAGAATAACTCGTATTTGGAAGAATTTCAGGTACGCATCTGCATCACAGTGCTCCATCGATGATATACCTACAAAACAAACGTCATTGAGCGATAGATTAATAATTTCATATTTCTGTATATTCGATTTAATGTATAATTCTGCGTACTCTTACCCTCCTGAACAGTGCGTCCTCTTACCGTACCTGCAATTCGCGCACAAAACAACCCCGAAACGTTGTGCAAAACTTCGCAAACAGAATATTGCACTGCACAGGATTTCCCCAGATAACCTCACAAGTTTCCCAAAACAATCACGGAAATGTACCTTATCTCAACTGCCAAGTATCAAAATTATTTTACCATACCATAATAATATCATAACGCTCGAAAATAATATTCATCGCCTTAAAGGGACCCTCCCACCTTAACATTAGTTTTGAGTTGAGGTAGCCAAATTGGTGGCCATGGCCTGCAAATACCGGTTTGGGCACTCACAACATCGAGAAATGCTTTAATTCGAAGATATGGAATTTCAAACTTGCAGTTTTCGGATTCTAAGGGGCTAATGCATTGGTATGCCCCCTTAGAATTTGTGACGTCAGCGGAGATCTAACGATTTTTAAATCTTAGACTAAAACCATCGTTAACACGTGGTGGTATACGCTGCTTTGCGCGCAACGTCTGCCGCACTTTAAGGCTGCCAAATTATTGCTTCCAAATAAAGTCGCTAGTAACAGGGAGATCCCAAAAAGTAAACAAAAGTAAAAGCCTAATATCTTGAAAACCAGTGAATATTTTTCGGTGAATTTTGGTAACTTGGTGACAAGCACGCACTGGCGGCTTCATGTCACTTCATGAACTCGACAAGCCCGCGTTGCTAAGCAACCAAAACAGCTGATGCGTACTCTTATCGCCCGCGTACTCTTACCCGCCCTTACCCTAACCGTGGTATCGCGGGTTCTTCCTGAAGGTTACGTGAGGTCCGGTCGGCCACGTGACCTCATCATTATAATTCAAAGGGGGCATTATGGAAACTGTTATTTGGGTGCCGGACATGATCTAAAACAAGCACATTGAATCATAATTTCATGCACTCCTTCCTAGGCCGAATGCTTTACTTCTCGTATATCGTTGACCTTGCCTGATGACGTCACTAAGGTCATTGTAATTTTTTTTTGTCAACAACTCCCGATTAAATTGAGCTAGCGAGTCGGAAAAGCCAGCAATTGACTCGGCAATACCTGCCGAATCGAATGATATGCGTACAACACGGCCTCCTTTGAGCACCTTCATGACCTTAGTGGTTCTGCCCTGACCTTGACCTGCGCCCGTGCGGTCAACACTGTAACTTGGCCTCACCTTAACAAAAAGCATAGGTGCCATTCGACGAGCCTGAGCATAGAAAACACGATGGTGCGAATGTCACGACGCTGCGACAATTTTTGGCCAATTTATTTACCAAAAACCGAACCTGTACCTTGGGTGACTTGACCTGAACTTAGAGGTCACCGGTTGACCTGAAATCTTAAAGTCGGGTATCAGTCGCTGTGTCTCGTAACGACGCACACGCTCGTTGTTTTCCGCGAGGCTGTAGCTCAAAAAGGGGCGAAACGGCGAGGAAAGGGGTTGGGGGGCTATGCCCCCTTCGGCCGGGACATAGGTATGTAGAAAATCAATAGTTCGGCGAGGGTGGAAGTGATGCGACAGGCTGAAAAAATCCGAATGTAGTAGCTTATTATACCTACGAGTACAATGAAACGTTGGGCACCTATTTGATTCAATTGATCCGTTTGGTAACTGATAAATTCTAGCAGTTGTTTACTAGATGGGTTGGAACTTAGAACCTTTTGATTGAAATGTAGATTGTTTTGCCCCTCTGCTTCCTAATTAAATTAAATAGACCTGCCGAATGATGTGTCAAGAGAGCGGAAAACTCTGACCTTTTATCTGACCTGCAAAATTATCGTCAGCCACCCAATTTCTTCGGGACCTGGACGTTTTGTTGTTCCATCTCCATGTGCCGTTTCAGCTTGGCGATACGTGGCCGCCGAGTGAGAAGCGTAGTAGAAATAAAAATTATCGATGCGTTACAATCGGACCATCACCCTGGCAGGTAATGGGTAGGTCTGTCATACATTTTATAGCTAAAATCAAAATATTCTCGCCCGTTGTCTCTGGGTATCAAATAAAATAGTAGGTATGCTACATGTTTACCAATATCCTGAGAACCTGGGCCCCAGCTGCCTTATAAGATTCTGAACCTTTTCTCTGTTTTAAAATTCTAGTTTCACCCTCTTTTTTTCACTAGAGATGTAGTCACAAATGAATGACCGTAGCTTGCAATAAGCGGTTTTACGACCACTTGGGGCGGAAGGAGACGCCTGAGAGGCCCCTTCCATAGGCCGAGCTGCCTCACTCAGCTGCTGAGGACGTTGAACTCGGCTCGTGCGAGGGTGAAAGTGTGCACCGGGTCACTGACCGAGTGCTCACGGGGCCGTACCCAGGATGGGCTGCACGGTGATCATAGCGTAACCGTACTTCCGCCCACTGGGCGCTTCGAGCGATCGCACTGGCGTGATCAATGCCTGCGCGGTGTGGGCGGGTGGCATGCTGTTTCTGGGTATATCGGAACATTTAATGCTTGAAATGCTTTTTTATACGGCACTGCCCTTCGTACAGAAGGTCATGTCTCGAGTCAACCTGATAGTAAAATTGAAGGCGATGGGGTCATACGTACCTTCCCCTCGGCCGAGGGTTAAGAGTATTTTAGGGTAAAGACCGACCGATAAGGGTCGTTTGCGATAGGTGTTTTGAGAGATTTCCGTATGGGATGTGGACGATTATATAATGTATAGCAGTGAGGCCAGTGCCAACGCTTGGCAGTACAGGCTAATTAATGCAGGGCATTCCACCACTGATCGCCGCCAACGTGAATTAACTATTTCACGAACATTTCTGGTAAATCGGGGATTACCTTTTCTATCCAGGGCGAGCGGCCGTGCCATTGAACCGTCGTGGCGTTCCCTGCTAACCGGTCGTCTGCTCTCCATTACAGGACTGGCCCGGCCCGGGTGAGTCGCAGCCATGACTCTGGGTGAGCTGCTACACTACCACGTGATCCCTCCGCTGTTCCTGCTGTTCTTCACGCCCGTTGTGCAGGTGCTGACCCAGCTGGGCGACCCGCGGCCGCTCGGATGGAGCGCCCTCGTCGGCTCACGGTTCGCGTGGGCGTTCACGGCGGTGACGCTGGTATGGGCCTGGCTGTTCCTGGTCCTGCCGGGCCCGGTGCACCACGGGCCGACCACACACTTTGGCCAGACCCCGCCGTACCGCGCCAACGGCATGCTCTACTACATCTGCACGCTGCTGCTGTTCGCACTGCTGGAGACGTGGCTGATGCCGGGCGTCTCGGTCACCATCTACTCCAACATGTCGGCGATCCTGGCGGCGCTCAACGTCACCGCCCTGGTTCTGTGCACCTTCCTGCTGATACGCGGTAAGGTGGCGCCCCAGTCCTCTGAGGAGATCGAGCCCAAGCCGCTGCCACACGAGTTCTACCGCGGTATGGAGCTCCACCCGCACCTGCTCGGAGTGGACGTCAAGCAGCTGACCAACTGTCGCGTGGGGATGATGCTCTGGCAGCTTCTCGTGCTGGTGTTCTGCGTGGCCGGAGCGCGGCTGCACGGCCTCTCCAGCGGGCACGTGGTGTGCGCCGCCCTGCAGACCGTCTACATCGCCAAGTTCTTCTGGTGGGAGACGGGCTACTTCAGCACGCTGGACATCACACTGGACCGCGCCGGGTACTACCTCTGCTGGGGCTGCATGGTCTGGGTGCCGTGTTTTTACACGTACGCGGCGTTCTTCCTGACCCGGCAGCGTCCGCTGCTCAGTGACGGCCAGTCGGCGTTTGTTCTGGCGGCCGGCCTGCTCGCCATCGCTCTCAACTACCGCTGTGACCTGGAGAAGCAGCGGTTCCGGGAGTCCGGCGGCCGCTGCCGCCTCTGGGGTCGGCCGGCCGAGTACATAGACGCCGAGTATGTGACCGCGCAGGGCCGGCGCACCACCAAGCTGCTCACCAGCGGCTGCTGGGGCGTTGCCAGACACCTCAACTACGTGTTCGAGATCTTGGCAGCGTTCTGCTGGTGCCTGCCGGGTCTGGGTCACGGTGTGTGGCCGTTCCTGTATGTCCTGTTCCTTACCGTGCTGCTCGTGCACCGTGTCTTCAGGGACGAGGAGAAGTGCAGCAATAAGTACGGCAAGGCGTGGAAGAAGTACTGTCGGCAGGTGCCCTACAGGATGATACCGTATGTGTTCTGATGTGTCTGCTGTGAGACCGTTCAATGTCCCGTTCGATTTGTCGTTTTATTTTCAGTTCTATCATCTATCGAGGGGTTATTGGACGGCTGGGAGAAGGCTTATTGCTTTTCCGAGATGGCAATAAGACGTAATGAAATTATGCACCGTCCGTTCGGTAGTTATGTACGGCCCTCCAGGTATTAAGTGGTTGGTTGCCAACATCACAATAAGCGATCCGCATTGATGAATACGTCTAATCGCTGTTGATAACCATTGCCGAAGTGTGTGCATGAACCCTCTTCTCATTTCTATTGAGTCATTTTACAGGAGTGTCTCTGTCATTCAAAGCTATTACACCAAAAGCACATAGGCTAACCAACCACTCTTTTGCTGGAGGGCCGTACACCAGCGTGCTCACAATATGAAATGTTTGCTAATGTTAATATAGCACCAACAAACTCTTCAAACGTCTCTGTAATAGTTTTATTGGTAGTACAACTGACTTTGTCACTTGTGGTAGCCAGTGTTCGATGTTTAAAACGAGGTGGTCTGGTCGTATTGTGCGGGATCGCAGAAGTCATTGCATGGTTAATTCGAGTTCTAGTTGGTGTTGAACTTGTGACTCTTCACATAATAAAGGTGTGAAAAAATCCGTGTCATAACTACATAGTTGGAAGATAATGCAAGCCCGTCGCTCGCTGCCCGTTGACAGGTAGCGGGCGAATTGTTTCAATTAATCGAGGGTGGTTGGCTGGTGCAGCTCCTTGGCTAAATGTTAGGCGATTGAATGCACGATTTACTGGCGTTCTTTCGTCAGTTTAACGTATAAATAGTAAGAGTGCAGGATTGATCCGGTTTAAATTATAGTCAGCTGAATTCTTTGACGAATATGCTTAGTTAATTGCATACAGATTTTTCTAGTTATTTCGTAATACGTGTACATCCAAAAGGATTAACAGTAACATTTTATTGCGAACTCATTATAAAAGACTCTAAAATACAAAGTTGTCGAGGACTATCACTCAATCTCCGATCATGCGTTCGGAAACCACCGGGCTTCCCAACATTAAAAACAAAATTAACCAGTTCCACGCCCCTAAAAGGCAAAGGGCGAATGGTGGAATGAGACAAACAATCTACAAGTCTGAACAGCAACAACACAAAAACGAATCATACAACTGGCGCTCCTCGCATCCCTATTTGGTAGGTATATTCCATTTGCTGTCAGTCGCCCCACTGCCCTTCGCTCAGCTTGGTGGAACCCTGAGATCGAGTGGAGCGGGACTGGTGGTCTGCTGACTGGCCAGGGGGACAGAGCTGACCCCCGCTTCACCCCCCGCCGTGCCAGAGCCGTCAAACACTGTGGTCGGACAGCCGGCCCACAGCTGACCCATCTGCTGCATCCAGGGGTACCAGAGCCACCCGTCCCAGCCGGCCGGCGCCGCTCCCCGGCCGCACGCGCAGCTGCCGCACTCTGTCCGAACCGGGGCGGGCGGGACCATCCCTGACACCTCTGACACGGCTGACACCCCTGACACGGCTGACACCCCTGACACTGCTGACACCGCTGACACAGACCCTGGAGACACGCCTGGCAGCCTCGGCGCCACAGCCATGGGGACGTCCGCTGCAGCGGCCGTCTCCGACTTCAGCGCCGCCAGCGGCCGGGGTACGCGACTAAGCTTCTCCGACTGGCCTCCAGGCGGCAGTGTAGCAGCAGGCGAGCTGGGCCGGCCGTGTCCGTTGGCCTTCATGTGTTTCCGCAGTGAGCTCGGGTCCGTGTAGCTCTTGGAGCAGCCAGGATGGCGGCAGCTGTACGGCCGGTCCACATAGTGGGTACGCGTGTGTTTGAATCGGTCCGACGAGTTGGAGTAGGCGCGGTCACAGCCCTCAAATGTGCAGGCGTAGGGCTTCTCCCCTGGAAAAGAGTTAGGTGCAGTTGTCAGGCAATTTAATCATTATGCATTGCTCCATTCTCGTGTCTTGCCGTTTTACCGAGACATCGGGATCAAACTACACGGGCACTAGCTGTGGCATTTGACTGTTAGACCTCCCATGACTGACCGTCTTAGTGATTGAGCGCTGACCGCGTGTTGTAGCGTAATCGTCGTAACTCGAAAAACCGCAGCGGCTATCAGGTTTTGATCGGCCCTAAAGTCTGGTGTCTCCATCCCACAGGAACTGTCGATATTCTGCCAGTGACTGTATGTGGTCGCTCAGGGTATGGGGCAGTATGTGGTGTGTGTGTGGAGGGGGGATGAGTGTCGGAGCCTCAGACCCCCCTGTGACAGTCCCGGCAGCCGCTGGCCCCACGCCAGCTCGGGACACTGTGCACGTGAATGGCCGGCCCTGATGCAATATTGACCGAGCCATCGAACTACACGTCGGCCAAATGGCGTCACCGGACATATTGACAGACACTCAACACCTGTCGAACTGGGATGACGTCCGTCTACTTATAAAAGACATTTATACTGATTTAAACGTCACACTCCGGGCGAATGGGACAGTGAGTGTGAGGAAGACCGACTTTTGCTCCAGTACCTAACCGTTAATATCACCAGTTACGCCTTCATTGGTGTAGCGGAGTGAAGACACTAGAGTAAGGCTAATGAAGCTCGCCGATCGTATGAAATAGGTACGATCATAGACCTCTGTATACCAGGTGTAGGTACAGAGGTCTATGGTACGATCTTTTACTTACATGCTTAGGATCAATTCGTAACCAAAAGGTACTTTTCCGGCGGGCGGTGACGCCACGTGGCTAAAAAGCGTTTGGTAACTGGTAAGAAATAACACTGTAATATCTTGTGCCAATTTGTCCTTACCTGTGTGCGATCGTTTGTGGATCTTGAGATTCTCCTGTCTGCTGAAGCCCTTCCCGCAGTCCGGGCACACGTGAGGACGCTCTTTGGTGTGTGTCCGGATGTGCACAAACATTTTGTACCTGAAATCACCAGTCATGTCAGCTAATTATTCGAACTATTTTAGGCTCATCTTTGATTCATCGTTGAAGTACCTAATTGTCTCACTTGGAGCATTTTTATTCCGCTTTCCGACTTTACGGCACAACTGTTTGAGGAGACGGGCGACAAAGTTTTAATTCGACGTCTGGAAGGATTTTTTTTAAGTGTCGTCGTCGCAAAATCGCTTCATGACTGATAAATTTTGGCATCTCTTCTCTACACTGCTGTGTGTGATAAACCTAGCCGGGCACTTACCTGGCGTTGAAGCCCTGCCGGCGGCGGGAGCAGCCGCGCCACAGACACCGGTACGTGCTGCTGGCCAGCTGCACGTGCTGTGACGTCACGTGCACCACCAGCTGCTGCTGCGAGGCCAGCTGCTGCTGGCAGCCCTCCCAGCTGCCGACAAACACCAACTGTTAGAATGGGAATTGAACCAAACTACACTGACCGGCAACATGGGAAACACAGCCGTTTACCATGGGAAAGACAAAAAAAAACATTGACCGTCAACACATGAGACAAACACAAGCCGATTAACTGAGAATACGCTTATTGATACCTGAATATTTCTAAAATTCAGTTTCATTGGACAACGAATTAGTTCTTCTCCAATTTGTTGTGCTAGTGTACCTACTTTGTACCTTCTGTATTGCATCAATTTCGTAGAGTCACTTATCTAACGAGATGGATACACGGGCATGCGTGCGACACCTTAGAACCGACCACGACCGGGGAGTGCCGACCCTCTCTGCCAAGTTCAGCGCCGTTATCTCACTCCAGCTGTGAGAGTATTATTAATAACCCTGCTTTCATCTGGTGAGTTTATAACTGACACTGAGTCATGAACTATGAAGCCACACCGACCAATCTCGGCTGGCAGTTTTACACAAACAGAAGCGATTGAACACGTCTGACCGACGATTTATGAGTGTTGGCACGGCCTAAACCTCAGAAACTTAGGCTGGGGGGATCCATGTGATCGCAAGGCACATCGCAGTTACGATCAAACGTAAGTTGTATCGGAACGGAAGTAGTTTGTATTAGAACGGAAGTACGCTTGTAAGCACCAACTCGTGGTTGTCAGAATGAAAGTATCACTGTGCACACTTCACACTGCACAGGCATACCTACGTAAACGAGGTTTATTTACACGAGGTTTATTTACAATAACCTCGTCTCCCTCCGATGATCGCGCCCTGTTACCATGTCCCGTCCAAACCATTCGCGACATCGCCCCGTTCGTCCGTCCCGTCCGCTCGTCCAGGCCGGTACTCCCGTCCCCTTCGTTCATCCGTTCATCTGTCCGTCTGTTCTGTCCGTCCTTCCGTCCATCTGTCCGTCTGTTCACCCGTCTTCCGTCCGTGCCATCCGTCGGTCCATCCGTCCCGTCCGTTTGTCGGTCCACCCCCTGTCCCCTTCCGTCGGCCGGCGCCGATCACTCACCCGCACCGGTAGCGCTCGTTGGGCTCCTCCTGCCGCCTGTCGTCCTCCATGACACCGTCACACCTTCCTACACCTGTCCAACCCTCCACACCGTGCCACCCTGTGTCTAACCACCCACTGGACCCCTCCGTGTCGGAATACCGTCTGTCTGGCGTCTGTGTGTGTCGACCACCGGGTCCGCCGACCGCTGAGGTGGCACCCCCCGCCGCGGGCTCGCCCGTCTGCGGGAGGCGACCCCCCGGCCCGCCGCCGAGCCGGGGTGTCCCGTTCAACGGCAGATATGGAGATGTATTACATTTTAACGAGTTTAAATGTGCGTCGGCCCGGCGCGCCGCTGTGGTGTGGTGGGTAGGAGGTATGACCGGTCAACACACGCGCGCGTTGGTGTTCGACCTGACCGCTCGAGACGGCAGACGGAGACGGTAGACGGGAGGCGACAGGGCGGATTCTGATCGTACTCGTCGATATCAGCCGTCGATGACGCAATATGAGGGCTGATTCATTCGTGATATGGGCGTTAAACACGTGGAAGAGTGTCGCGTGGTTTCAGTAGGTTCCTACTCAGCGAACGTTACGTGTGTGCAATTGCATGCAATTGCACACCGCCCACTCGATTCTGTACAGTGCGCGTTTTGTATAGTTTATAATTTTTTTTTTTTATTTAGTCGGACCTCTCTCCAACGGGCTCTTGTCCCAATTATAGGAGAGAGCACCTGCTCCTCCCGCCGTCCTATTACCCACCCCCCAGGCTACGGCTGAAGTGGGAGCCTACCCCACACCTGGTGACGCAGCCGGGGACGACGCCCGCGGAACGGGCGGAACCGGGAATCGAACCCGAAACCCGGCACCGCCCGCACCGCGGGTCGACGCCTTAACCCGCGCACCGACGGGGGGGCGGATATCCGCCCCCCCCTGAGGTTTTTCGCGAATAGCGGGAAAACCGCGGCGCGTAGCGCCGCGAAATTTGGTATGACTATTCCCTTATCAATTTTACACATGGTGTGCAAGTTTGAACCTCCTACCTTTCAAGGTCAGGTCACCAGGTCACTTTGAATGACCCAACCTCAAGTCACTTTTTTGCAACTTTGTCACCGTGCCAGAGCTACAGTAGATGTCGGAGGCCTTTGAAAGTCGCAGGATGTTATTAGGTCATTAGTAGCTACAATTTGTATATCTCGGAATTTTGATATCCGTGACCTAAGGTCAGGTCAATTTCGCGACCTCCCCATTATAAGTCAATGGGGGAAAAATCAACTCCCTGTTTTTACCACTAAAACGGGTCGGAATGGCCCCATATACCATACATGACTTCATATACGATCAACCTTCACTACCTTGAGGTCTGTTTTGCTGTTGGGCAGCTGTGAGGTCATGTGACGTCATCAAAGGTCACCAAAGGTTTTTGGCCAATAACTCCGTACAGGAACAAGATACAGACGCGTGGATGGTCTCATTGTGTTCAGCTCGTCAAGACGCATCGAATGATATACATGATGACCTCGAGGTCACGTGACCTGAGGTCAACCTTTGACCTTGACCTTTCGAGGTCAACATATATATCATTCGATGCAGATTGACGAGAGGATCACGATGATGCCCTTAGTTTGTTCCTATCTTGACTAATTCGAAAGTTATTCGAGAAAAACTCTCTCCATATTTAGCGCCGCCATTTTGACTTTTTCGACCCCTGTGACGTCATCTTTGACCTGACCTGAAAATGACCTTAGTAAAAATTGTAGATCTTGACCGTGCGTATCCGATGCCGTTTACCGCTTGTCGCTATCTTGCTTCGTTCTCGAGATCTCAGGGGGGGGCGGTCATCCGCCCCCCCCCCCGTCGGTACTAAGTTGGCGCAGACCCCCGTCGGTGCGCGGGTTAACCGACTGCGCCACCAGGGCCGCTTAACTAAAACTTAACTACGCTTAACTAAAATTGCTCGCCTAACTACCTTCCAGTGGCAAAGCTCGAGTTATTCTGTCGCGTCCTCGCTGACAGAGCGACTGCCGCCACCCTCCATTGAGATAGGTGACAACTGACAGACCACCACATAGCACTGCCAGTAGTGCAGTGAGGTCTCATGTCAGCAACACCGTTCTGCCGTAAAACACGGTATCAATCCCAGCGCCTCTGAGCGCCAATGACAGACACCGCGGCGCCTGAGAGCATGTCCAACGGCTGGTCGACCGAAGAGCTGGTCAGCTTGGGAGCTGGTCAGCTTGAGAGCTGGTCTGGTCAGCTTGAGAGGTTGTCCATCAGAGGGCTGCTCTGTCGGAGACCGCGGGTCCGCCATTCAGTGTTATCCACCGGCACCACCCAGCGCTCCGGTTGGAAAACCAGGGGATGATGTATGTGCCGGGCAATGTCGGGCGCCGCACGGGGTCCGGTGCGTGCGGCGTGCCAGCGCGCCCCGCCCGGCGCCCCGCCTCTGGGTGGCGGAAGAGCTGCCCTCTGAGTCGGTAGGGGGCTGGGTGTGACGGAGTGGCTAACGGAACACTAATCAGATTGTAAAGGGTGCAGCACTGGTAGACACAGGCTAATCCTGCATTTGCATTGTGTGTGAACGAATGGAACTAACCAGGCGATGGGCGGTCATAAATTAGCACTATCTGGTTCTTAGCATGTGGTTTCACGACCTCATAACATTTTTTTTTTGCGTTAAAGGGATATCTGTTTTTCGGGCTGTCGAGTAGAAAGCTATAATACCTACCATTTATTTTCACGGAAGAAGACAACACTTAGATAACTGGTAAGAACCACCTGAATAAATATTACACCATCCCGTGGTTTCACGTGGTTGGCAGGTGGAGCCCGGTCATTCGAGCGGTCTCCCGGGACATTGATATTGATGAGCCTGGCCGGAACGTTCCTATCCACTCTCTGAGCTGAACCAGCCGCCCACCTCTGCCAAGGAAAACCCGTAGCGCGATAGCACTGTCAGAAGAACTGGAGTGTCCGGCTGGCTGAGATCTAAACGGTCCGGCATTAATCTGCTGCTATGCAGGGCATATTTTAACATACTGACTGCGTCCCATTTTGGGACGCAGCCCCCTGCCTTGGGGACGTAGCCCTCGCGAAATTTGGACCACTGCGTCCCACGCTGAAATGTCACGGTTTCAGCGGAAAAGTGCAAGCAAAAATAATTAGCATGACTCGGTCTTATACTACTGCCTTTCTGATTGCTTTGTGCCCTGATTTACTATGCATCCAAGCACATACATGCGCTCTCCAGTCCTTGTGCCCTGCCCTATATCCTATAGGGTCATACACCTTGTTATGTCCTGCCCTACTATACCCCTAGGATATGTGACCTGCCCAGTGCCCTGTCCTAAGGTCTTGTACCTTGCCCTGCCCTTCCTTCAGGCCCTGCGCCCTGCTCTGCATTCAGGCCCTGTGACCCTCTCTGCCCTGCCCAGTGCCCTCAAACCCGATACCTTGTTGTCTTCCCGTCTTAACCCTCGCCCGTAAAGGGGGGGGGGGGTCGAACGGACCCCTCCCCTAGGTTTTTCGCGAATAACTCGCGTAAAAAGCGGCCGATCGCGACGAAACTCTCAGTACCCTCGCGTTAAATAATTTTATACCTACCCTGAAATTGTCATGACCCTGACCTTAATGACCTTTGACCTGTGACCTACTTTTCGAGACCATGTTTGGCCGGAATCGCGATTCGGCGTATGTCGGCTCGCATTAGCGGCGCGTTTGCAGTCTTTTCGTGGTTTTAAACGTTCAAACATAGGATATGATGTTGCTCCCATGCATTAGGGTGGGTGTCAAGGTCACCGGAAGGTCAGGTCAGGTCATTGACCTTTGATGACCTCGGTTCACTTTTTCGAGTTTTACATGTTTCTAGGCCAGTTTTAGGAGCTGAATTCGAATTTAGCAACCATATGAACATTTACGAAATAGTTTTGGTGCCTTCGTAACATGTTACGAAGCTGTCAGAGGCGGCTGCCACCTACTACGAATACCCTTACTGGTTGACCTGACCTGACCTGACCCGACCTGGCCTAAATGAATGAAGACATCATCTGTGATCACAACTAACATGATATTCGTGGTCAGCACCCCGAGAAACCCCATAGCAGCCACGCTTTACGACTTTCTAACAGGTCCCGATTTTCCCGACTTTTGGGTCATTGACCTGACCTGGAAGGTCAACCGATGACCTAGGACCTTAAAATTGGGTATCATCGGCTTCCTCTCGTCACGGGCAACACGCTCGTTTTTTTTCGCGAAGCTCTAGCTCGATCAGGGGCGAAACGGCAATGGCGGGGTCCAACGGACCCCCCCCCCCCCCCTTATACGTTCGCGGCTGGAAAAAACACCAATACGGGCGAGGGATAAGGACGGCCCGTTCGGTGCTGCTGCCGGTTCGGTGCTTGGCTCGGATTTCGGGAAAATTGTGGATATCTAGTCCTCTTCCTTGCACTGCCCTCAGATCCAATAATACTTATATAGATTAAAAAAATCAAATATAAGAGTTAAGACTTTAGGTAAAGCTGGAGAAGATTATCCCTGGACCTGGGCGGAACCCAGGGAGGAGAGGCGAGTTATCACAAGCAACATGTCACCCTCCCCTCCGCTCCCCCTCCCCTGTGGCACCATCCGCCGCCCACCAACCATTCACGATTCACATTCGCGTAGTCGCCGTGCTGGACCTGTCGGAGCCGAGGCGGACGTGCGAGCCTGGATGTTAGGCTGACCCGGGCGGAAGCGGCGCCCGCCCTTCCGGGGATTCCCGGCTATTGAAACGATTGAAGGGTGTGTCTAAAAAGCAGGCGAGCTTGGCAGACGAGCCCATGCTCAGTAACTACTGGACCGATTTTGATAATTCTTTCACCATTCAATAGCAGGAAACTTATATAGGTGCCGTTTCTCGTTTTTTGGCGATTGGTTCACTCTGACTGGACCAATAGGACCAAAATGGTCCAGAACCATAGACCCCCTCAAAAGCAGACGAGCCCATGTTCCGAAACTACTGGGCCGATTTCAATGAAACCCTCACCATAAGACGCGCCGTGGTCTGAAACGGTGCCGTTTTTGATAAGTTTTTGATCGGTCTACCCTAAGTGGTCGAATATTTGCGAATTGACAATATTTCATACGCAAGCTCTCTTTTCACTCGATTGATAAGGGTGAAAAACGCGTGAAAAGGCGTGTGTATCATATTTTAATAATCCTGTACATATTCATTTTTATTCTCTAAACATAGGTACATTTAGGTGCATCAAGGGAGGTCAAACACGCCCAACGACGTTCAGGAAAACGAATGACTAACAGCAATGGAAATATCATTTACTCGCCGGTCCGTCCTTTGAATGTGGAAAAAGAACGCGCTATGACTGGGCGAATTTCGAGACTGGCCAAAAGCAATCACAGCCCGCTCCCAATATCCCGCTTGCTGTCCCTCCACCGGCACATTACACAATGACACGTGTAGGGGAAGTTGGGGCAATGCCGGAGTTGGGGCAAAGCCGAAATTCGAGATATTTCTAAAACCGTACGACATGGATGCCACGTCTCAGTGATGCTCTGAAGCTTAAGTGACTACAATTATCGCATGTTTGTTATGAGTCGTCATTTGGAATACTTCGGCTGTGAGGGCGCCAAAAGCGTTTTCAAGGTACGTTTCCTTGTACTACATGCGCCTTTGAAGCTGCATTTCTTACTCATTATGCTACCGTTTGTCTGGCCAATTCGGTCAAGTAATCTTCAGCATGTCTTTGCATAAGTGTGCTGCCTATTTGAAATTTATACAGCACGTTTAAAAGTTATGGGCCTGCAAATGAAAGTATGGCTGGCTGGGGTAATGCCGAAAACGTGCAATTACGCACGTTAAAGCACGCTACGTGGACTTTACTGTTGTAGAATAGCAACGCGTATTTTTAGTCAAACAAATTACACTTTCAGCCGGCACAACGGCCTGTTACCTATAAGGAATGATTTGCCTGGCATTTTCTTATTATATCACACAATTATAACTTCCAGTGTGCACCAAGCGTCCTCAAGCTCTTAAAACGCGTGTCAGCTTTGATGAATTTTGGATAAAGTTTGAGATAAATTGGCAAAACATCAATGTCGGTATTCCTCGTAGATCATTTATCCCATTTTCGGCTTTCCCCGCAGTCCGGGGCAACGCCGAAAAAGTCAGTTCTTTGATATTTTTAGTTTTTGCGCTTAACGGTATGCGAATTCATCAAATGCGCCTGGTATGTTTGAAAGACAAAAGACTGGCCTCTCGAATGACGCCAACAAGAATAGCTTATGTTGTCTACCTTGCGTGCTACGGGCGTCAGAAAAAAAGTGTTCGGCGTTCCCCCAACTTCCCCTATCTCACCTGCATTATATACTATTTCGCTTGCAATGTGGTATGTGCCCTTTCCGATCGAAGCATGTGCCCTATGCCACCTTTGGGACGCAGTAAAAAATCCTTAAAATATGCCCTGCTGCTATGTCCGGACGAATCGCCTCGCTGGCTGCTGCCGTTTTCCTGTCCCCGCCTCACTACTTTGCCTGCACGGATTCACGGCTCCCCTTAGCTGTCTAGCTGACCTGGAATCGTTACTGACTCATATATCTCAGACTAGAGTGTCGTCACATTGCCCACGCAGATCGTCGGCAGATCGGTCGGCTCTGCTGGCCGGCGGCTGGTCGGTTTGATCAGCGCTGCGACGGGGCGTGGCTGACGGCTCGTCAGCGCCTCCCCCTGACGTCCGTCCGTCGTCTGTCGTCTCTCGTCTCCCGTCTGTCGCGCGGATGTGACCGAAGCACCGCCGGAGCCAACTTTGTGTCGGCGCCGCGGCCCGGCCACGCTCATTTGTCGTCGCTCGAACATCGCCACTCGGAAGTCAACCACTGAAGGAAATGATAAAATGAGATAGAATGGGTCGAACGACAGCCCATACCACAAATAGGCTGTCGTTCTATACTAGATAGTAGATAAAAAGGGTGTGTGACATACCGGCCTCTGCTACCGAGATATGACGGGGAGACGTCCGAAACACGTGAAATCTTCTTATCTTCAGGCATTGATTTGCAGATCAAAAGAGGACGTTGCTGGCTTTTCTGAGCCACATTCAGATTCTGAGGCGGATCAACAATATTGTAGTGGCCCGACGCTGTCTCCGATATTTTCTTAGCCACTGGCTGGGCGGCCGGGCGGTGACATCAGATTGCTGCTGTCTCTCCCCCGTAGCTCCGCTCGCACCCCCCGTCACGGAACTCAGCTGGGGGGCGGCCGTGTGCCGCGCGGGGGGCCTGATTATGGGCGACGTGGCACCGTCGGCCAGCGGCGCACCCAGCGGCGCGTGGGCGGGGGTCGTCTGGCCAGAAGCGCACCCAGCTGCGTATAATGGTGCCCCCACTAGACTGCAACAAGCGTTGCTAAACTTAGTGTTGGAGCACCTATAGGTATAAGATTATCTTAGAAGTGCACCTTTGACAATTAAAAATACCTAAACGTTTAATAGCTTGCATCGCCCGTCACACCTATTTGAGTTTTGTTGATCGTTATGATGTAGTGTAAACGAATAAAACAACCGAAGGATAAGTCCCAAGAACTATAAATACTTAGGTGAATTAATATTTCAATTAGGTACTGAACGAAACAAAAGCCGTTATTCGACACATTAAACAAGGGGAAAATAAATCTTGAACGCGAGGATACTCTGGCCTTCAACATGAACTGTAACGATTCAAATTTGCCAAAGTAGGTATGCAAATAGGCACGAATTACGGATACACTGGGCGTAGCTTTTTTTGTTGTGCCCAATTTAAACCGAGTTCAGGAATTGGAAAATAACGATTTACAAGTAGATCTGCTTTAAAAAAATGTTCATAAGCTGGATTTGAAAGGCTGGTGTTCACTGTTCATACCTCATGTCTATTGCAATAAGCGTCATTTTAATATCATCCATGGTAAAACGTTTCAAATCAATAAAGGCGTGCAGCTCAGCCGAGGACGATAATGAGCACGTGCATGTGATAGGAGTAGGACGCTTCTCCCAACAGGTGTCTTGAAACCGCAATGATAAGCCTATATGGGCCACGGAGTAGAAAAAATCGTCTACTAGTAAGCCACACCACGATCTTGTTACATTTTCCAGCCGGTGATAAATACCTAATATGCAAGGCTCACGGACGTGAATACCGTTGTGAACGGTCAAACTCCAGTCTCCAGACATATTGTACGGTAAAAAAGACCTGTGAGATAGGCTGTACCGCATAGCATTGTGTGGGGTAGACTGCACCGCATTGCACACAAGTAAAGTAAGCTGAGGCTGCTGAGCCGTTTCTTTACGTCGAAATCTGTGAGCAGGGCTGCGGAGTCGATGGATTTTCAGTGCCTTCGGCTCCGACTCCGGCATCTAAAAATAAATTCAGAATCAGACTCCGACTCCGGGTGGAGCTGTTGACTCCGACCGACCGATTCCACAGCCCTGGCGGGCCTGCGAAGTCGATGCATTTTCGGTGACTCCGACCCCGACTCTGACTCTGACTTTGACTTCCAAAGTCGACTCTGATTCCTACTTCGATTCCGGTCAAAACTGTCGACTCCGACAGACTTCGACTCCGAGTCTGACTTCGACCCCGCAGCCTCGCCTAGTGCCTGTGAGTTGTTGAGACACTTGTTACGCACTTAACAAAGCGTGAGAGAGAGAGAGAGAGAGAGAGAGAGAGAGAGAGAGAGAGAGAGAGAGAGAGAGAGAGAGAGAGAGGGAGAGGGAGAGGGAGAGGGAGGGAGAGAGAGAGAGAGAGAGAGAGAGAGAGAGAGAGAGAGAGAGAGAGAGAGAGAGAGAGAGAGAGAGAGAGAGAGAGAGAGAGAGAGAGAGAGAGAGAGAGAGAGAGAGGGAAATAACAAAATCATCAGCAGTGTCCACGGCCGTTATATCGAAACACGGGTGCTGATATGTCGGCTACCCCGTCTCAACGAGTCGAGGTAGAGTGTAAGCTGTAGGGTGTTCATTCCAGAGTCCAGATGGGTTGCCTATTCGTCGGTGCATTAAGGAGCAGACTGCCAACCAAGCTCAGCAGACCCAGTGCCGAAGCCTGACCTAAGGATCGAGGACACCCTGTGGAAAATATACCCAGACACGACCGTTTCAGGACAATGCAACGCGCCGGCACTTTTTATAAAACAGCGCTGCGATTGCAGCGACGTCGCCGCCCGATGCCGACTCACGCACGGTGCGTGTCGGGTGCCGTCCGCTCGGTGCGTGACACTGACACGCCGACACCTGACACCTGACACCCAGCTGTCAGCTGAGCACGTGGAGCAATCGACGCATCGCGCGGCACGCCAACGGCGGCGGCGCTGGCAGAGGGCGGCACGACGCGGCGACGATGCCCCGAGGCTATTTGCGGTCAGGTGGCCGCAGCGGTCGGAGCCCCGTGTGTGTGGCGGTGGTCAGGTGAATGTGTGCTGTGCTGGTTGATTAGCGACATTAGAGTGGAGTAGTGAGTCGACGAACCAAAAGAACGGAGGCTTCTGTTGAAGACTAATGAGGGCCACAGTGCGGTGATTACACGAGTGCAGGTGCCCGTCCACGTGCCTCCCAAAACTCAAGACACACCGCAATTCGTCGCTCGCTGACACCAGCTCAGCTCGAGTGACAACCGCGTAAGCGCCAGAGACCGAACGTCTGCGAAACACAGCGCCCACCAAGCCAATAAATCCGCACATCGGGTCAGCGATCGCCGGCTCGCATCGGGCACTGATTCGCGAGGTGGCCGGCGTCCAATTCGGTTGGCGACCGGGGGAGGGCGGCTCCGTCCCTGCCAGAGGTGGAGGTACTGACTGACAGACGGACGAGCCGAGAGCGACAGACGAGGGTGCGGCCGCCAGTGACCGGCGGTGACCGACAGTGACCACCAGTGACCGGCGGTGACCGACGGTGACCACCAGAGAAGGCCAACGGTGACACCAAGGGACACCCGGTCACCGGTGGCTGTTACAGTGACCTGAGTGCGAGGAGTAACATCCCAGTAACGCCCCAGTGAGGACCAGTGGCCATCAATAGCTCGGTGAAAGTGTAATGACTGCTGTGACGACCACTGCGATTTCTGACGGCCACAGTTACAGTCTATGACCATTCGGCCAAAGCAGGACTTGTTCCAGCGAGAAGCCGTTCAGTAACGATAAGAGCTCCCGGTAAACGGCTTGCCAGCAACACGTATTCTGGCGACAACCGTCTAATCGGCAACACTTCTCTTCGGCGAAAACGCATACAGTGGCTTTCGCGTGCGACTGAAATAGCGTTATTTCGGTGCGAATGGGACGTCCTGTTGAGGTGACGTTCATCCCCGTCCATTAGTGACGCTCCGTTACGTTCAGCGCCGTCCTGTGTCGACCCCTGCGTGACCTGACCCTCCGCCCACCATGCCCGGGGAGCTGGGTGACCCTCCGGCCGACGACTGGGCCGAACAGTGCCTGCGCCGGTGTCGAGCGGAGGCCGTCTGCTCCCTCCGTGCCCTCCTGCAGGAGGACAACTCCGACCCACTACCCAACAATGCCAACGGTGAGACGACCCATGAGGCAGGCGAGCTGAGGCACGGGGTGTTGTTAGGAGATGGTAAGGCGCAGAACCCGCCTCGTTTAGTGGCGTAAATGTTTGGGAGATCGAGACTGGGATGGATGTTTAGCGAGGCTAAATTCGTTACATAAATGAGCTGGACTCAGGGTGAATAAAGACGTAAGTTTGGTTGTATCTTCATTCAGTGATGACAAAATGTTGAACATAAGTGACCTGAATGAGATGTGCCGCCAGGCGCCAGCTGCGTGTCCCACTGGCACTTCACCTTCTAGCACTAGTGAATAAAGGTGCACTTGATTCACGAGGGATCCTGCATCATGCGGTGCCGTCTCCGTGCTAACCCCCCGTCCGTTTCAGCCACGGCCAGGCGCACCTCCCCGCCGGAGATAATCGTCACACCGGCTGACACGGACGAAGACCGCGCCTGTCCCACTCCACCTCTGCTCCCAGACGGTCACCTCCCGCCGGATACAGGCGGTGACCTCTCACCGCCACCCAAACGTAGAGGGCACTCGCTGAGGAAACTGCTCACACGGTCCAAGAAGTCTCGCCGCGCTGAGAAGAAGGCACAAAACTCGGAGACAAGTCCCGATGTTGTCCGGAGCACAGCTGAACTGTCACCGGAGTCCGCCTGCCGCGGTCCCGTCGGAAAGGCGGCGGCTCGGGCGGCCGCCACCGCCGCCGCCCGCCGCACCTCCCAATCTGTGGAGAACTCCTCGCAGGCCCGTCCGTTCTCCATGTCGATGCGCGCCCCGGCGCCGGCCGCGCCTCCGGAGCCCGATGACCTGGCGGTCCGGCTGAGGGCGTACACGGAGAGTGGAGGTCCGGGCCGGCCGGGGGCCGGGAGACACCAGACGGACAGCGCCAGCGCGCTCTCGGCAGAGTTCCAGCGGTACCTGGCGGCGCGCGTGGCTGAGCTGCGCGAGCGGCGCCGGCGCGGCCTCTCCGATGACCAGGTGCGAGACGAGTTCCTCCGAGAGGTTGGCGGCATGCTCCGGGAGATGGCCGACCAGCTCCGAGAGGCCCGGCTGAAACAGCAGGTCAGTACGGCTCTACAAAGGCCTCTTCAAACCGAAAGGGTCTAACCCTATGAAGCAACTAAACTCGGGTCAATAGCGGACTCACGGCCGGTAGCGGAGATGTTTGGTGAACGCCCAGCCCATCCCTTTATTTCCCTCTGTCACACACAGGCACAACACATAAACGGGAAGGGGAAAGTAATCACAGCACCTTTCAGTAAAAAGCAATGTTTATTATAGCAAGCACAACTGTGCCTGACAGTCGCCGTAATACCATCTATCACCGTTGCACTCGGATACAGTTCCCGTCAATGTCCTCTAGCTCCCGTCAATGTCCTAGCTCCCGTCAATGTCCCCGCTCTGACGTTTCCTCCCCTCTCATTGACAGCGGGAGCAGCAGCAGTCGCAGTCGGCTCTGCCCACCAGGCTGGTGGTGTCAGCGGCGCACCGGATCGAACGGGGCTTCCTGGCGGCTGGCGGGGCCGTCAGATACGCGCTGCGCTTCATCACACATACCGGGCACTCGGAGCAGGAGGCCTGCTGACGGCCGGAGCACGATAGAGCCAAGAGAAGCAGTCGGGCTACAACCAAAGACTTTATCGCCCGTCCGTGGCAGAAAAGAATGGCGACAAAGCGACATGACTATGACGTGCCTTAAAGGTTTTAATCATCCCTTTAGTGACGCAGGCGTCGGTCGTATCGTTGTTGGAGAAGTATGATACAGTAAGTTACAACGGCGGCTTCAAAGGGGAACCCGAACTGCCAGACAAGGAATGGACAAGGCGTCGTTCTAGAAGAGTGTTATTGATGGTATTTATCGAGCGCCTCAATGAATTCTATCGCTCAATGCAAGGATGAACGAAGTGTCTTCCCTGTGCGTCTTCAAGTGTACCCCAGTTTGTGTTACTCCGTGCAGTGTTAGTGTTCGTGTGGATTGCAGAACATCATGTGTGCCGAGGAGGGAGGGAATCAGACGTGCCGAATGAAGCCTGAGCCGAGCCGCGGTTTTTGCTGTTGTCACCCAGCTGTTCCCTGTACCACACGCACCGTCGCTGCTCCATATACCCCACCAGCTGCGGGCGGGCCGCTGTTTTTACGTCTGTCTGATATTCACACGGACACCTGTGCAGAGCTCAGCCGTGTTTGGGGGAGAGTGAGCTGTCATCGTGTCATCGCGGCTGCTAGTTGGCTGGTCGGCGAGTCACCGCGGTGGGACGGGGAGAGGGAGGGTCGTTCCCCACCGGTGAGGGAGGGGAAAGTGGAGGGTGTTCTAGGTCGTAGCACATGTCGTATCACAATGAACTGAGGATCATCTACGCCTGTTTGTTGGGCGTCTTTTAGTAGTGATTGACCTTGCTTGTGTGTATTCGGCTGCCAGTTGTGACTACCACGTGGGGAAAACGTGTTGTGAACTGCAGGACAAAAGAGGTGGACAAAAGAGGACAAACAACACCGGTGGGCGCTGCAGTAGTACAACCATAAAAATCGAGTTCTGCAACGAAATGTCAAAGAAGTGTGGCTACTGAAGAAAAAATGTAGATGAAACAAATACAACAAAGCCATTTTTAACATGACAATATATTGTTCTTCGGCATCACAGACATAGCTCGACATTCAAATTCGTTCCATAACCGCTTTAAATATGTAAGTGCCTATGCAAAACAAATCACCTACAAGGAAAATCACAACCAACAACGACTACCGTCTAAATCACGAGCTGAAAACGGTTCCCCACGGCGTGTGAACATCAACCATACGACACATGTCTCAAAACGTCCCAGCTGACTAGGTTGAACACATCAAGCGGAGACATACAACCGCTCCATCACCCCACATTTTCATTGCACGCAACGAATAAACCCCGTACGCGGGCATTTTCAAGCATATCCTGCTTGTAAGGCTGGCAGTCAGCCCGTTCGCCCTTACCTACCTACTCTAAAATGGCTATCAGAAGTCAGAACCCGACAGGGCGGTCGAATTCGACTCACTATCTCCTGGTGAGAGACCCTGAAGACACACGGCGGGGTGATCTCAAATGTTGGGGCCCCGGGAAACCCATGAATAAGCGAAGACAGACTTCAGGACACAGGGTGACAGGACCCTGCTGTGGCTAAGCGGACAATGCGGACAAGGGGATAGTAGACTACGCGGGTAGCGTATATGTGAAAAAAAGCAGACACAAAGGACAACGGACACTTATACATCGGCAAAAATAACAGCGGACGATGCGGACCCCGGACGCATCACCGACCCGTTAAAAAGGACGGTACCGAATGGCCCAATCCACACCGCTGCGATAGTCACACCACCAGGGGGTCACAATTACTGGTGGACACACTGGGTTGGTCGTGGCTAGCGAATATCAAACCACTACCCAGTGCGAGTCCTAGCCTCCTGAAATGCCTCCAAATGCCACCGATATATCACATGCATGGATCACAATTGGGCAGTCGATACACAGGGACGGGTCGGTGCATGGCTCGAGGCTCACTCAAGACTCGAAGCATGTCATAAACTTATTGAAATCAGTACTTTTAGCGGTATACTCAACTCCCGGATAATTGTCTGCTAGATTGTCTCCTAGGTAGACACTGCGAAACATGCTGATTGATACTGTGGTAACTGGGAGAGTACATACATTAAAATCAGACAAACAGGCAAACTGTTCGGAATTTCGGATAGTGGGATGGGACATGGACCGAACAGAATATTCGCGGCACATTAGCCTCACAAGTCGCAACCATCCATGACGAATCATACTAAATTGCAGCAACCACATAAATGCCTGCCATGGCTCATAGATGGCAAATGTCCATATCGGGTACTAACTAGACGCTAAATATTCACACGCATTGACCATACAAGACGTGCAACACTACCATTTCACTGTCTTCCCATATCACAGTGATACACATTGCCATAGTTGATAAGCTCGTGCCCTTCTAATCGCTAAGGAATATCGGCTATGTACTGAGCGAAGAGCGACATTACAACATACTGCTCCCTCTTGCATGGCAGAGCATTCAGGTAAAAATGAAGGGTTGGTAACCACGCAGGGATAAGCATTCACTTAACATGTTACATTTTAACATCTATAAACCATATATATGTCGAAGCGTATACCGTTCTTTTACACTAGCGGTAGGTTGTCAACTGTCGATCACGTAAATAGTTTGTTCGTCAGTGAGACCCAATCATGGACCAGGCGGCTGAATGGCAAGGTGGTCCGGTTTGTCAACAGTATTCCACGATAATGCATGTCTAGGATGTCGCCCAATGCCGGCCCGGCTACGGGTGAGAGAAATTACTGCCAGACTCTCATGGTTCACATCCAAGCGTTGACGAAGCTCAGAAATAAGTTGATTTTCATGACAAAAAACATCTATCGACGAAGCTCCAGGACGCTACGACTTTCCCCGCCTACCGAACCCGGTAGTCTGTTTAGCAATTGGGTTCGGTCGTGACTAGCTCAAACGCTGCACTGGGCGCCCTCAGCTCGTGTCACTGCCATTGGCACCCTGGGCCCGGAACGCTGGCGCCCTCAGCCAGATCACTCGTGCCTCCAGTCCCGTTAGACAGCCTCAGTCTTTACGACCGACGTCCTCAGCTCTGGACACTGGGCGCCCCCAGTCCGTACCACTAGCGCCCTCAGCTCTGGACACTGGGTGCCCCCAGTCCGTACCACTAGCGCCCTCAGCTCTCGACACTGGCGCCCCCAGTCCTCTCGTCAGCCAGCTCCGGCAGCAGCAGCAGTTCTGTGTCATTCCCAGCCGCATCGGTCGGACTGAAGACACTACTCTCGGCCGGCTGGCGGCCCGGCTCACCACTACTCCGGGTCACATCGGGCAGCGGCCATGGCTCGGGCGCCTGCTGGTCCTCCGGCGGGGCGTCCTTCAGCGGCGGGGGCTCCGTCAGTCCCGCGGGCGGCCGGTCCGGGCTGGCGGCGCGGCCCGCCTCTGACAGAAGGACGTGTGTAGCCTGACTGAACTCCTCCAGTTCGTCTGTGACGTCCAGTTCGGGAGTGTCTAGCTGGAAGTAGCTTCGGGAGCGCGCCGGCCACAGGAGCTGAGTCATGATGGCGAACGCCAGGAAGTCGGCCGACCCGGATAGAGCTGTGAAAGAGGAAAGAGGGATTAGCCTCAGTGGCATGTAAAGCTCAACGAGCCTATTCTGTGCGAGATGCCACACCATATTAACCGATAACGACCTCCGTAACTAATGATATAAGTATTGTTACATTGTTACAAGACTCGAAGTGCAATATTTACAATGTGTACGACATTGATGAATATTGTTTACAAGACAGACCCATTTTAAGACCTACTCCTTTTATAACAACCACTCTGCTGTACCTACCTCATCCTTCATCCTCCGGGCTCGGCTAATCTCACCAGCACCCTCCCCTCCATCCCTAGACTCACCGAGCAGCAATTTATGCCGATAGAGTGCACTGATGGTGAGCGCCACTAGCGCCACCACCGGCAGATAGAGGAACCAGAGCAGCGAGGCGGCGCCAAAGTGTAGCAGGAACTGGAGCCGGCCCGGGTCCGGGTCGCGCTGGCTGGACACTGTGTCTCGCAGCTCCCAGAGGAACCAGCACATGATGAGCAGCCGCAGAGAGAGCGCCAGCCAGCCCGGCCACGTCTGGTACTCGTCAATGTCGTAGATGACGTCCACCTCCGTCTGAGAAGGGGGAGGGGGGGGGGAGGAAGAGACGTCAGTTGACTCTCTTCAGAGTGCGGACAGATAAGGAGAAACGGCAGGTTAAATGGAAAAAGACAGCATGAAGAACAAAAAATAGCGCCCCCCCCCCCCCTTGTGAGAGCAAACACTGTCTGTCTCCCTCAAACCAACAGGAGCGGATACTGGTCAAGCCCGAACCACGGGGAGACAAGTTCCGACCTCCTCCCGACCAAATGAGGTTAAAAATGACAGCTGCTAGACCCCAGAATGTTCAGGATCACTCAGGATGTCAGTACTAGTAGGTACTTATCGTCCCCCACTCTCCAGGCCTAGTTGGACGGGTACTGACCAGGTTCCAGACGTACAGCACCACGCTGATGACGCCGTACACGCCCCAGATGGCCAGCATTCGCCGGTTCCCGGAGATCAGCGGGTCACGCACCGTCCACCCCTGAGCTAGCAGCATCAGCACCAGCATCAGCAGCAGCTGCAACGGAGAGGGAACAGCGTCAGCAACAGGGAACAGTCAGCAACAGCACCAACAACCAGCATCAGCAGCAGCTGCAACGGAGAGGGAACAGCATCAGTAGCAGGGAACAATCGGCGCCAGACAGGGAGCAATCAGAGCAACCTGCTGTGGCATATCCGTGGCAAATATGTTCAGTGACATAACTATATGAATCAGCCCCCCACCAATGACGGTATACGCCTGAGGCACCCACGTTGAGACAGTCGCCGATGACGGTACACACCTGAGCGGCCATGTTGAGACACTGAGACAGTCGCCGATGACGGTACGGTACACGCGGTACACACCTGAGCGGCCATGTTGAGACAGTCGCCGATGATGCTGACCGGCCGCCAGCCGACGCCGTCGAGCGCCATTTTGACGCTGTGCGCGGCGCGGAGCATCCACCCGGCCAGGCCGGTCACCAGGGCGCCCGTGAACAGTCGAGTGAGGCTGTGACGCTGGCGCAGCGAGGCGTACAGCTGGAAGGGCGCCAGCAGCGTGTACAGGCCCAGGAAGGCCAGGTGGACCTCCACCGTGTCCTGTAGAGAGGAGAATGGGTCAGGTGTGAAGTGTACAAGCCCAGGAAGGCCAGGTATACGTCCAGTGTGCTGGGGAGAGGTCACCTACAGTATGCATAGGCCCTGGAAGGCCAGGTGGGTCTCCAGAGAGTCCTGGGAGAGGGGCAAAAGGGGGCAGTAACTACTGTGGTGAGCAAAGATCCAATGTCAAGAAAACCTTTCATTAACCCTCGCCGGACCTATTGGTTTTCTACATACGCGCCGGCCGAGGGGGGGGGGCGGGTACGACCCCCCCCCCCCTCGCCGTTTCGCCCCTGGTGGAGCTAGCGCGTCGCGGAAAAAACGAGCGTGTGCGCCGCTACGAGACGCAGAGATTGGTACCCGATTTTAAGGTCCTAGGTCAACCGGTGACCTCTGAGGTCAGGTCAAGTGCCCCAGGGTACGGTTCAGTTTTTGGTGAATAACTTCGCAAAAAACGGCCGCAGAGCCGCGATTTTGGCAGCATCGTGTTCGCCTTGCTCAGGCGCGTCGAATGATATACTTTTTGTTCGGGTCAGGTCAACTTAGGGTGTTGACCTCAGGTCAAGGTCAGGTCAGCACCCCCAGGTCACGAAGTTGGTCGAAAGAGGTCATGTCGCATATCATTCGATTCGGCAGGTCTTCCTGAGTCCATTGGTGGCTTTCTCGACTCGCTAGCTCAATTTGATCGGGAGTTATTGACGAAAAACTAATATGACCTTGATGACGTCATAAATGACGTCACGAAAGGTCAACATTGCAAAAGTGACGCATCTAACCTTGCAAGGAGTGCATCAAATCACGATTCTGTGTGCTTGAGATAGTTGGAGATCGTTCCCGGCGCCAGAATAGCAGTTTGAATTTTTCCCCATTGACTTATAATGGTGAGGTCACGAAAATGACCTGACCTCATATGACCTTTAGGAAAAATCCGAGATATACAAGTTGTGAGACTCATAATGGATACTAGATCCTGCAAGTTTCATTTCCCTGTGACATCTCCTCTGGCAATGAGGGCGTTGTGAAGTTGCGACATCTGAAGACCGTGCAGAGGTTCACTTATGACGTCATAGGTCAGTGACCTGACCTGACCCAAAAATGCGGTTGGTGTCAAAAGATGCGGCTTGGATCAAAGGTCAGGTATGCCAAGTTTCAGCTCTCTATCGCTAGCGTGTTCGGAGCTATCGCGAAAAAACCCTATGGGGGGGGGGGCGGCACCCGCCCCCCCCCCTCGGCCGGCGAGGGTTAAATCAACAATGGGAAGCCCTGATTATTGAAGAACTCCAGCATTGAAATGAAGCATCACATAAAAAATGCATCAAAGATGCTACGGCCACTACTAGTCAGTAAAATTAACAATTACTGGATGGCACATTAGTAAAACAAAAGAGAACTTCGTCAATAGAAGTAAACCGGCATGAGTACTAAAGTCGTTCATAGGAAAGTGAGTGGGTGCGTGTCTGCTGCATTATACCATCGCGGTAGGTTTCGGCTCGTCAACTGGATCATGGGTGCGGCCTGTATTCCATTCAGCGTTTTCCAACAAATTAACCAAATTAAAATGTTTAAGGTCGGCATGGGCTATCATCTGTGCCATCAGCTAAATCCGCTCTTAGAGCAAGTGCTAGTTAATAACCTCTGAAACACGATACCTACACCTTCGTCAACCTTAACACCGACAATAAGACGTGCAGTGAAACGAACTACATCCTTCCAACACAGCTACGTAACATTCTTCATTCTTGATTGATGAGCACACATAACACCATGGACCATAAGCCACGCCTTGATCCTGCACCTTACACCCCACGTACAGCTCACGATGCTATCAGCTCCAGTGCGCATGAAACAAACTACAACCGACAATTCCGACCCGTCTAATTGCGACGTCGTCTAAGTCTCGCGTGGCGTGCTAAGCCAGGTCGCCTCGGGACCGGTAATGGATGAGAATACGACGGGGCGCCCCAGACGGGGTCAGTGTGTGCCGGGCTCGCCGCGGGCGCCGTCAGAGGCGCCGCGCGACCTCCAGGAGTTAGTGCTGGCGGGGAAGCGATCGCTCACCGTTTGTGAATTGTGTCACCGCTAGTGACCGTTGGATCAGCTGTGACAGCGAGCCGGCTCTGCTGAAGATTGGTCTACTGTCGGCTGTTCTAACGGCTGCGGCCGCCCGGCGCCCGCTGTGAGCTGGCGCGCGATGCGGTGCCGGCTGGCGCGGCTGCCTCTGCACGCCGCCCGGCTGCTGCTGCTCACCTGCTGGACGGCGCTCACCGGCCGACAGCTCAGCCACTACCTCTCAGAGCCCACCGCGCTGCGGCCCCGCATCGACTGGGACTTCGCGCCGCCCTACCTGACGGTGGTGCCGGCGGCGCCGCTGCCGCGCGCTGTCACCAGGGTGGTGCGGAACGGAACGGCGGAGGAGCGGCGCACCCTGTACGGCAACCGCACCCTGCTGCAGTTCCTCACCAAGAATAGTCTGACGCTGTCACAGCTGACCGGAGAGACCGAGATCTCGGAACCCGAGAACGGCAGCGTCCGGCAGACGGAGGCGGCCGGCCAGTTCGGGAGGTGGCGGCTCGTCAGGACCGGCACCGGCGTCACCGGAGCCACGCTCGAGCCCAACACGACCAAACTGTTCCTCAGTCTGCCGCGCGACACTGAGTTTGAGGTGGACCTCGGCGGGGGCCCGGCCGGCCAGTACTGCTGCTGGGTGATCGTGCACAGCACCCCGCTGTTCTTCAAGCTCGACGTGGACATGCACGCGTTCTTCCCGATCCGTAACGTGCTGGACAACCCGGACATTCAGCTGACAGTGAGCCGGGACGAGCGGCTCAGCCTGCGCCGGCTGCCCTGTGAGGGTGACCCGGAGTACAGCGAGCCAGACTGCGAGCGGCACTGCTTCCTGCGCTCGCTCAACTGCAGTCTGGAGCCGAGCGCCGGCCGGCCGGATCGTCGACCCGTCTGCATGGCCTCCGACTACCAGCGGTACTCAGTCGCCTACCGGCGCTTCGTGCAGCCGACAGCCGGCCGGGACAAGAGCAGCGCGCCGATCGCCGGCTGCGGCTGCCCGCGGCCGTGCGCGCAGGACCGCTACAGCTACAGCCCTCTGGCCGACGTCACCGTCATCACCAACGACACCTTCCGCATGGCCATCACGGTGCGGCGCGTGCGGCGCACCATGGTCACCGTGCTCACCTACCAGGTGGAGGACCTGCTGGCGGACACGGGCGGCTACCTGGGCCTCCTGCTCGGCTTCTCGGTACTCTCGCTGTTCGGCACGGCCGACCGACTCACCCGGCGGCTGGTGCGGAGCGCGCGGCGCAGCGCCGCCGCCCGCCGCGCCGCCCGGATCCCGCTGGTCAGAGCGCTGTCCAGAGCAACAGGAGCTGAAGAGCACGGCACACCGACGATGACGGACGACGGGCTGAGCAGCGGACAGTTCCCCGCGGTCGACCATGGGCGGCAACGACTGTCAGTGACCGAGTGGTAAGGCCGCCTGTGCGCCCGCGTCGCCGGCACGGTCACAGTGGTCCTCCGCCATTGTCCTTTCCTTCAGCTGATGCGCTCCTCATCAACGATAAGGAAGAACCCTCAAACATCAATGATCCATGATGTGTTCTTTATCCTTGAGTTAACCATATTCTTGGTTTGATGTACCTATTCGTTTCCAATTAGCGAAAAAGTCACCAGCAACGATAAACGACGATATCGCGATAGCTGATCGGGCGCAAAATGATCAAATATGTTATCGCACCAAAAACCCAAGTAAAATTCATTACGAAGGTCATATCCTGCCTAGTTTCAGTGCCCACCCCTAGATGAGATACTTGCTTCTTGGCGTATGTACATATTGTTTGGCACAGGGCAGCGGCTACGATGTCCGGCATAAGGCTTCTCGCCGACCAAACGCATGCTCCTTTTAAGTGTTCCTGGTTTCACGCAAAAAAAAAATAGCCAGAGCACTATAACGGTATGTCTGCTTCACCGCTAGAATAAAAAAATGTGAGCCTTCACAATTTATCACACACATCCCTGCACGACCCACTTACTTTCATGTTAAGGAAAACAAATGTCATCAATTGCGGATTTTAGCCGTTGTACCGGATACATGCCACAACATGTCGTCCGTTTTTGCTTGTAACTTATTCCTGGACACAGATGTAGGGTAGGTATCAAAGGATGATGCGTTTTCCTCCTTAACAGACAGCCAACAATTTCGGTAATATACTTAAGCTCCTACCAACTGTGTGATTCTGCGTTCTATTTACGGGAAAAGGTGCACGCCTACGAGACTTGGACTCGGTCCGACGCCTTCAGCATTGAACGAGTCGCCAAACGTATAACGTCTAAGGCAGTAGCACACTCTATCCCGGAATTCGCGGGGTTAGACAGACGGGATGGTATGTGGCTGATGGGCGGTGGCTTTCAGCTGAAATCCGAGTCTCGTATTGGGAACTGATGGGTCACAGCGCCAGGGCATCAGGTTACAACTGCGGCCTATTTTTAGGTGGCCAGCGCAGTTGACTATGAATAAGCAAACAATTGAAATACAATTCACCAAACCTGCCCGCAATAATTCTGCAAAGTCCATTCCATTCAAAAGACAGAAGTAGAAGCCATACGACATTTCCCACTACTAGTTACAAGGAATGATACTCGAAGTACGAGCTATATCAGCAGGAGAACCTCACATCCCGAGACCTTCAAATCCTTACATAACATACGACGAACAGCCGCTAAGAGCTACCGCCTCTGATAGACGTATCTTGCTGTCAGTCGTTGCATTGCAAATACAGAAAATAAACTAAGTCAAGAGAGCTTAACCATTTCCGTCGTTTTAATTTTGTCTCGAAATGCGCTCAATGACACAAAACATATTCAAGAAAACTCGAAATGACAAATAAGTATCAGCCGGATGACAATAATTCAACATGCGTTGCAAACAGTTGAAGGACTGAGACTCGACAGACGCACTTCTTGTGCGTCTGGACCTGGGGATGACAATTTGCACTAACAGTAGCGTGACGTTGTCGACTGAGCGTTTACAATCCGTAATGTTCGGATCAGCGGATTTCCATTACGATATGAAACACAAGCAGCTTGAACTATTTGTTAACTGGTCAAAAACAAGAGCAAATTCGTTCTTTGTAAATTACGAGTTAAGTCATGTCCTACGGTGGATAATTACGTGCCAACATAGCATTGCAGCACGGTGCTGACAAGGACAAACAACGACAAATTTCAATCACCTTGCGAGCAGACATGTGCACGGATCCCAGACAACCAATCACGGAAATCGAGATGGCCATTAGATTGACGGTCTTCAAGCATGAAATTATGGTGGAAAACATGGCTCATAGAAGCTTCTCAATGAACCATCTATTTTGCATTCCTTCAGGGTTAACAGTTCTGAGAAAATCCCTCAAGCAAGATCCATCTCGGATCCATGATTCGTGGCCATGGATCCGAGATGGATCTTGAGGGATTTTCTCAAAACTGTGAACTCTGAGGGAATGCAAAATAGTTGGTTCGTTGAGAGGCATCTATTAGCCATGTTTTCCACCATAATTCCATGCTTAAAGTCCACTAATCTAGTGGCCATCTTGATTTTCGTGTTTGGTAATTGGTCGTCTGGGATCCGTGCCCATGTCTGCTTGCGAGAGACTAAGTACCTAAGCTAAAGCTAAAGCAAAGCTAAAGCAAGCGTAAGCTAAAGCAGCTTCAACTGACTATTGACCGTCCTATTGTCATATCACTTAAGTATTTTTCGATCATTCCCTCCATTCCCCGGGACGACAAAAAGGCCGCATCCCCGTCCACTGACCTGCTCATCAAACGAGAACTGGTACTCGAGCGGGTTCTGGGCGCGTTTCCTCGGGTCTCCGTTCACCAACCAGATGTCGTACTGGACGCTGATTGGCTGACGGGTATGACGCCACTCACACGTCACCGGGTCGCGGTGACACGCCACCAGACTGATGTACCAAAACCTGCGGTAGGGGAATCTGGTGAAGGCTTAAGCCAAGTGGCAGGTGTTAGCTGAGCGATAGGCGACGACAAGATGGCGGGGGAGGGGAGTCAGAAGAGGCGACCGGCATACGTAAATATAAAAAAACTGATCTGAAAGTAGGAGCATAAGTGAGGCCGATGTCCTAATTATAAGAGCAACTGGAAACAAAATGCATGCTTTAATTCGCCACTCAAGTGACCACACAATAACAAAATTGAATAGGAGAAGTTCAATGAAAAAAGCTCATACTACCAGCAATCCAAAAAGAAAAAAAAATACCAGACGATGGATGATGGAGCACGTCGTAGCACATGCATAGAAACGCCTCTCAGTCTCAGCAACACATTAAGCTAATGTTGATCGTACGTCGCCCAGCGCTCAAGCCCAACAATCACTGGCCAACTCAATATCTCTAGTCAGTAGTCAGTAGCCACCTCCGCTTACCTCGGCTGGTGGACGTCCTGAATCGAGTAGGTGAACTGATGACCGGTCACCACATTCTCCGGCGCGTCCTCGTCAGGACAGAGCGCCCCGCGCGGGCACGGCACGCGGCGCAGAAAGTCCTCCTCGCCATCATCGAAGCAGCGCGCGTCGTAGGCCACGCGCGACAGGCCGGCGAACATGCGGCGGCAGGCGGCGTCTCGCGCTGGCCAGCTCCTGTTGGTGTAGAAGTCGAGGAAGAAGGTGCGGTCGAGTACAGCGAGCAGCGCGCCCGGCTCGCCAGACTCCGAGCCGGACACGGTGGTGACGTTGCCGAAGATGTGCCCCTCCGAGTCGCGACGGTTCGGACTGCTGGTGCGCTGGAAGCCGAACTTTGAGAGGAAGAGGAAGAAAGAGTCTGAATGCCAGGTGCCTGTGAGGCGGAGGGACGAAACAAAAGGTGCCAGAACTACCAGCAGCAGTGATAATGATAACAGATTCTGCATCATGGATGAGGTGGCCTCCTTGGCTTCGGGAGTTCAGCTGGTAGTGATATCGGTTTAGAAATGGTCTTCAAATCATGTGATCCCTATGAATGGGAAGACATTTCAAAGATGAAGCAGCAAGGTGTCTATGCTGCTGACTTGTCGACTTGCTGCTGCTAAATATAATGAACACCTGCAGATGCTAAGGAGTGAGGATCATGTAGGATGGGCTGCAAAGTCAGTCTGTTGAAACCTCAGAGTTCAGTGTCTTTATAGAGATCCAAGGCTTGACACTTGACAGCAATATCTGAAAAGAGAAATATAAGGTAAAATAGATCACCATTGTCAGATTACTTCTTTGATAACAAGACACATCATTGTTTATTGGTAAGATATATGATTTGAACTAAATAATAAATATCAGCATAATAATCTACTTTGAGATTACAGCAACTCTAGCAAGTTCCTGTCAATGTCAGTTAATCAATATTGGCTAGGCTAAGTTATGTTTTGTACATGAAATGGATGGAGTATAAGCAGATTATCTAAATTGAGTAAGACAGAATTCATATTCTTGTTAATGCCATGGATGAAGTATAATCCATGTTAATGCACAGTAGGTATATCTAAGTGTGTGGTGATGATGGTTTCCACGTTATTTGGCATGGAGAAGTAGATTCAGACTATAGAAAATGTGCGATTTTATAGGCAAAGGTCTTAAAAATCACCGGGCACACTGATGCAGGCAAGCTACCATACCATGTTTACAGTCAGCACCATTATGTGACATAAAGAGCTCACTGCCGACTGCCTCACTTCAAAATGTCTCATTTCAGCATAAAATGTTAAGAAACATCCCTGTCGCTGGTGCTGAATGCTAATCATGATGGTCTTTCAAACTATATGAAAAGGCTTATCAGGTTCATTTTAACTTGTACTTTACTGTATGAGACACACAATCTTAAGTCTTTGTCAATGACATTTATGTTCTTGTGTTCCACCTGCGTTCGTAAACATACGAATACCTGCCAATGAAATGATCCCCCATTTTATTTATTGTGGGTATGTACGTACATTTACCTGATAATGTATTTTTTACCCGCTCTCTCACAGGTACATACTTGCACAGTACATAGTTATATGTACACAATTACAGAATTTGTCTTTAATGCATATCACTTATGCATACCTAATTTTGGAGCATTGTACATCTCTGTAACTGGGTAGGTATGTTCTAACTGGGTACCTAGATCGCCACAAGAGGTGGTGGTATTTAGTGGTCCTTATGTCTTTTCCCTGTTTGTCTTTTACTTCTTCTCGAACTTTTATCCCACATTTTTGTTTTGCCCTTTTCTTTTTGTTAAGCTTTGCTTTTTCTCCCTATAAACATCATACAGTACGTACAGTACTAACTGTATGTCTTTGAATCATCGCCATCGCTCAATGACCTAGCTTTCTGTCTATTTACATTACTTGCTATTTGTATACCGGTCGTCTCGTCTTGTTTTGTGTACTTACAAGTCACACTTAAGTTCTCCTGGATACGTAACAATACGTAAATCAGCCCTACGATACTTCCCACCGAACTGGGTTTACCGAGCAACAAGCTTGCTTAGCTCGGTATCCCTTTTCGGTGAGGATCTGACTCCTCCGGGTGTGACTAGGCTCTGTCCCTCTTCTATGATGCAAGCTTTGCATGCGCTTATTACCACTAACCCCTGGATCACTCTCTCCTTCTCACTATCTTCTTTGGGAATGGTGTAGCGGCCAGTCAAGCTACATTTAGTCTTGACTTCTTTGCCTCTTCAGTTCTTATGACATTTTACTAACTTACTAAGTATTGTATTTAGCTTTGTTTTGTTTGCTTTCCTTTTTCTTAGCAGGGAGTGTCGCGACTTTCTTCATATTTTTGTCTTGGGAGGTGTTAACGTAAGGTGCTGTTGTCGCGTGGGTCAGTGGGTGGACACTCCTGGTCGTCTGATCATGGGCGGCGGCTTAGAAAAAAAAAAATCTTCTTAATGCATTAAGACAATTATGTCAAACTTTCAATAACCTATCATACATCAATTTGACATGTTTTCTGAAGATCTATACACAATTTTAGAACATGGCAGTTAGTGCCATCATGATGTGACATCTGACACGCCACATCACACCACTTCTGCTTCAACAGCTACAAAACTTACAAAATAATATGTTACAAAATGCATGTAATTGACTCAGTTTATATTGTTAGCAATGTTGATATACCAAGTAAAGATCAACATTGATTAAAAAACAAGAGATATTCTGGATTCAGCTGTCAGCATGATGTGCGGATCATCAGCAAGGCACTACCATACAAATGATTTGATTCATGCCATTGGTGCTTTTATTTTCGCCAACATAACTGAAAGGCAAAGTGCCATCCGAACTTATCACGGAAAAAAATACTTGTAGCACTGAAGGTTCGTTGCATTCCACGACCACCGCCAAAGCCACTGATTTTAGCAAACCGTTTTTAGTCTGAATTATCATCTCATTTTCTCCTTAGAGTACACTTACCACAAGATGGTAGGGAGAGGATTTTGACAATTTTAACCACCGCCGCAATCACTCTAAGATGATAAGACAGCAATAAAATTAAATAATTTTAGTCCATCCCCGTCGGCCATAAACACATAATACCAAGTCCAAGCATAATACGCAGAAAGACGAATGTAGCAGCTGCGCCAAAAATGGAAGCACATATGTAGAGGTGGGAGTTCGGCGATTCAAGTACTAAGTACTTCTCCAGTATCGCATGTCTCGTTTTTCCCTTGGGTTTCCCCAGTTTTCCCCCAAGACAAGATTCCTGTTTTCCAACGAAGGAGAGGCGCAGCCTGACCGGAGATGTTTCTTTCTAACCAAACCAAAACAAACCTACCTGACCTAACCTTACCTAAAAAGTACAACCTACAAACCTATAACCCTTTGAAATTTGAATCACGAGCGAGCGGGCACCCTTACACCACTCAGCCATCAAGAAGGCAGAAGCCATCTGGCTGAAATGAGGTGTAAGGTAGCAAAGTACCTAATCTTGGGTGTAAGACCCACTCATGGAGGGACCCTTTCACTTTGACTGCCACAATTGGGTATGGGTAGTGCGGCCAAGCCAAGGGCCCAAGTATCTTCTCGCTGCGACGTTTGTCTTTATGGCTATTCTCTGAGTAGCGCCTCCAGTGCTGCGTGCACCGAAATGGCTCAGGCTGGCAGCGCGCATTGCACTGTACAATAATGATAGAACAGAAAGGTAAACGATTTATCCAAGAGAAAAGCAGAGGGCAATGCATCTCGAACTCAACAATGGGAAACATACAGACCCTGAATAGACCGACCTGAAGCCACGAAATCCGACCATCCGACCAATGACACTAACAGTCGCCGTATGCCTGCACACTCGGCCGGTACGGTTGCCTGGGACACGAGCGGGGCTGAAATTCCACTCCACAGGTGTACAACGATATATGTGAAGCATGAACAGCCGTTACGTAGCTGCTAATAGCCAAGTGTTACGGAATGTGTTCGACTCGATGCAAATTCCACGAGCACTGTAGATCGACCACTTCGAGGTAAAGTAACACGCATACATGCGATAGACATATCCTGGGATGTCATTCGAACATCATGAGCTCACATCGTATTGCGACACCCATCAATAAAGATATCGAAATAATTCACACTAAGTCGTAGCGTATGACATCTATATGGCATCCTACTCCCATCGGCCATCCCATCCTGTTACTTTTTTAATTGTTGAAAATGCAAAGCAAACATGATTCACCATTTATTGACATATCACCATGTAACACATACAAAATATCACACCACTACGCGAGGATGCAACTGAGAAACTCGCACTACAGGCCCGATGTGACTTTTCACCATGAAAGTACCTTCGATGTTGCGACAGGTGGAACATAAAATGAGACCTAATGAGTGATGCGATGAGAAAAAGCTCAGTGTCGTCAATGGCCACCAGATGACATACACCCACAACGCATAAAAATAACACTCGCAAATACAGCGTCATCAAACACCAGCAAACCATATGCACAATAATCGTCATACAACTCTGCCTAGGCACATTTCAGTCAAAACAGACGCCTATATTGAGGAGGATCACCACAAAACCGATGGGCACAAACCTATAAAAAATGCCGACAACATGATCGCGATATTATGCTAGTCAGACGTAAATTATAATTTACGTCTAGTGGATAACTCACGGCTGCTAATTAGCAGCCGTGAGTTATCCACTACACACCACCGTGACAAAGACGAGCGTTTGCGCGCACCGGTAGCAACGGTAGGGGGCAACCGTCACCGACTGGAGCACGGCTGCACTGTCCCAGGGGATCAGATAATGACCCAGGAGGGAGAGCAAACTGATCAGAAATCCCCTTGGAGACGACCATAGATGAATCGGCTAGGGTGCCGGACGACTGGCTGCATGCACGGCGACACAACACATCACCAGAACGAAATAGCATTTACCGGTTACAGGACAGACAAACTGTGACGTCATCATGCTGTTCGTACCTGAAAAAGGACCGTTTCATGTCAGCATTACACCAAGGCACATGAAGCAAATATAAGAGTGAGTGGGTGACAGTCGCTTTGTACACCAAAATAAAATTGCTTGTGATGCCAGGATGGAGCTGAAGTCATTTGTTTTGATATTTTTTTGTGAGCAAGAAGTTTATTACATGTTTCCATTACACTTACATATAAAAGAACGGAAAAAGCAGGCTAGGAGCTACGGTTTGCTCACTGCTCAGTTATCACGAGATTGAAAAAAATAAATAATGAAAAGCCCATCAAAACATAAGTGCTGTGCCAATGATAAATGTGTCAGAGGCTGTTGCCTACTATACCGGGCTTTGCAAAAGTTCTGTTACACTTTCTTTTTCTTTATTTTGAGGGGTTTACAGGTCTGGGCCAAACGTTTCGGCGATATCAATTGAAAATTCTGCTTATTAGAGACATGGTACCATGACGAATTTAACCTTCTTTTGCAGTTATATCAAAATGGAGGTCAAGAGAATAGAGATAGCCGCTTTGCTCCGCGCGCAGCATACCAAACCTTTCATTGCCAAGCACCTGAAAGTCAGTCGGATGACCGCCCACAGAGTTGCGGACAGGCTGAAGAGCGGAGAAGGTCTCAAAGATCGACCCCGTACCGGCAGACCTCGAGTAGTGAGCCGACTGGCCGTAAAACGGGCATTCGAACGCAACCCAAGGCTGAAAATGACTGAGATCGCGAAACGCAAGAAGATTTCGGTCGCCACGGTGTCCAGGGCCGTCAAGAACCAGGGTGGAAAGAGCCTACGACTCCTGGAAGGGCCTCTGCTCACTGCCCGAATGCGGGAGCAGCGCCGCGACCGCTGTCAGCGCCTGCTCAGCGACCTGAAGAGCAACGGAAAACGCGTCCTCATCTTCTCTGACGAGAAAACCTTCACGGTTGATCCGGTCGTGAGCAAGCAGAACGACCGCGTCGTCACCTTTGGGAACGATGTTTCCGAGGTCCGCCGCGTGTCAAAGATCAAACGTCCCGCCTCCGTGATGATGTTCTTTCTTTCTTTCTTTCAACTGACTTTCAGGTGCTTGGCAATGAACGCTTTGGTATGCTGCGCGCGGAGCAAAGCGGCTATCTCTATTCTCTTGGCCTCCATTTTGATATAACTGCAAAAGAAGGTTAAATTCGTCATGGTACCATGTCTCTAATAAGCAGAACTTTCAATTGATATTGCCTAAACGTTTGGCCCAGACCTGTAAACCCTCAAAATAAAGAAAAAGAAAGTGTAACAGAACTTTTGCAAAGCCCGGTATGTTGATTGCTGAGTTCATCGTTTGGGCGGTTAACTTGCCAGTCCCAAATGCCTAGCAATCAGTGAGCGCCAATCGGTGAGTTAACCCGCGCCCCAGTGGCGGTCTCAGCCAACTTCGCCCTAGTGGGTGGGGGGGGGGGGGATATGTTACCACCCACCTCTAACTAAAAAACTAAGAGGGCTAGAAAGACGCGGTAAAAAGCAGTCGATAGCTCTCAATGCGTACGTCTGAAAGTATTCGGTCATTTTTTCACCTTAGAGCAATATTGGGGTCACCAGAGGTCATCAAAGGTCAAAATTTGCTAATTGTCATTATATTTTCAGAAAACATGCCGCTATCTCAGGAACTATGGCAGCTAGAAAAACGCATGGAAGAGCAAACGATAGCTTTTGAACTCTTCTTTTGAAAAGGTCATTATCAATATTGACCTCAGGTCAACGGTTTAGCCTCCAGAGGGCAAAAACTCCAAAAATAGCTGTTTTTACGAAAAGTGTTTTTCGACAATAACTTTCGACTACAAAGAGCCACGACATTTCTATTGCCAGAATCGTGTCCCCCTCGCCGAGACGCGTCGAATGAACTATAATTTGACCTTGAAAGATCAACTTGAAAATTTGACCTCAGGTCAAGGTCATGACCTGACCGGAAAAGGTCATGTTGCATATCAGTCGATGCGTCTCAACAAGACAAACACAATGAGACCATCCCCAGCGTTCTATCTCTTTCCAATCGCGAGTTATTGGCAAAAAACTGTTTGTAGCCTCAAGTGACCTCGGATGACCTGCCTAGAGGCTATCAGCAAAAATGACACCTTGGTCATCACGAGTGGACTAAATCATTGTGATTCTGAAATATTTGGACTGTTCCGATGCGTACACACGGATCTAGAGGCATTTTCATTTTTCTCCATTGACTTGTAATGGAAAGGTCACGCCACTGACCTGACCTTAGGTCACGGATATAAAAAATCCGAGATATACAAATTGTAGGCGCCCATTACAGCATGGATCCACCAAGTTTAAAACTTTCTGACAAACACTGCAGGCTGGACATGATTGCAAACTTTTTTTAGGCTTGGTCAGTTAACTTGACTGGTGACCTGACCTGATATGACCTGGGGTCAAAAATTTCACAGATTGTCCAAATTGATGTACCAAAGCTACC